AGGATGATCAAAATTGCCCCATGAAAAGCAGAAGTGCAATAGGTATGCTGAGAAAGAACTATCAACGTTAACCCTTTAACTGCACGGCCTATAAATATGACACCCCCCCCCCCAGTGCGCAAGAAAAAAAATTCTCGGGAAAATTTTTTTTTTGTTCTGAAAGTGTCAAAAACCCCTCCCTGTATATGGGTATAGCAACGGAATTTCGAAATTGTACTTACTTTGGCTGCTATGGGGTCCGTAAGGTGGCGTGTGATGTCATCATTCCCCGTGCGCCCATGCCGTAAGCTCCCAGGGCCGGTGGAGCGCCTGGGGCGGGGCGCGTGAGTTGCAGCGAATATATTTTTGTTCGTTTTTTGCGCACAGTTCCAAATACATTTTATTTGTTTTTATGTGCTAATCCTATGTATAATGAACACGTACACTATATTATGGTAGTAAAACATCCGTACTGTCCAAGGACACTGTGTTATGTGCATGACACTTGTGTACACATATGTTGCACATATTTACCATGTATCATGCTAATTTATGTATATATACAATCTATTTACAGACTATACACTGTCACACACTATATACATTCACCATCACCACATTCGGAACACTGTGAGTGTGAGCTGTCACACCCAGCCAGCTCTCCCTCACTCCTCCAACATCTTACTCGCCAACATTGCTCCTCCCATCATATAGTTATTCACACCAATGTTTCATGTTCATTTATGTATATTTACAACATATGTACACTTTATATACATTTACCATCAACACATTCAGAACATAGCGAGTGTGAGCAGCCACACCCAGACAGGCCCTCCCTCACTCCAACATCTTACTCGCCAACATTGCTCCTCCCACCATACTGTTATTGTTTTTATTACACTATTTACACATGTTATATATACCTATCTAAATGTTTTATTTACCAGTACTATGCAAGTAAGCAGGTATTGTGTCCAAACAGTACAGTGGCCACCATACACTGCATGAGAAATCACACAGCAGACAGCGCTACGATTACGACGTCACCTCCCTCACCAAAATAGCTCCACTCAACATACTCCTGTTACTGTTATTACACTATATACACACACACACTGTATATACCAATGTACATGTGTGTTCCCTATAGCGAACCACGAAGCTAGTATGGTGAGCAAAACAAGAGTGACTGCCACACAGTGAGGCTACCTCAATTCTCTACCTCCCTCCCTCACCAAACTTCCTCCTTCCACAATACTACCCACACCGCTAATTATAACCACAATTCTGGTCACTAATTTCTGTAAAGGAATAATTTACCACAAGTTTATTTTGAAAAGGAACCTAAGAAGTCATTTGAAGATTCCTAGATGGACGAAATAATGCTTTGGTGCTGTGGCTAGCGCTATGAACATCGTGAATAGCATTGAATCACTGATATTTGAACATCGTACCCAGTCATTATCACACTCAGGCTCTTCTATAATACTATCATGACTAAATAATACAGGTTATATATATATTTTGACATAAGGCGATGCTGTGGTCACACGCTGAACAGCAGAGCTGTGCGCTCATGCTGCGAGCACCAGCCCTGGTTGCTCACTCACTACTGAGGCTCTCATACCCAGCAATGTGGACCATGATTTTTTTTTAAAGATGGCATCTGTTTACAAGAACCCTGAGGAAGCTGATGTGAACCCCACGTAGCCGCAGGAGTTTTGAATGGAACGTGAAAAATAAAAACACCCGGAGGCACGTTGCGCACCTGAAGCCTGGGCCTGCAGGCGCGTTGCGCAGTTAAAGAGTTAAATTTTGACGAACTATCAAATATTGCCTCAGCCAGAAAAATGATTGAATGGATTACAAGAACTTTCAAATCCAGGGATCCCATCACAGTGGTTGTACTATACAAATCACTTGTACTGTCCTGTCTTGAGTACTGCTCAGTACTCACTTTCCCCTTCAGAGCTGGAGAGATTGCTGAAATAGAGGGAATACAGAGAACATATATGGCATACATAGACGCAATAAAGCACGTAAATTATTGGGATCGTCTCAAAGCTCTCCAAATGTACTCACTAGAAAGAAGATGAGAGAGAGATCAAATAATATACACGTGGAAGATACTGGAGGGCCAAGTACCAAATCTACACAATAAAATAATAATGCACTGGAGTGAACGACATGGAAGAAAATGCAGAATAGAACCAGTGAAGAGCAGGGGTGCCATCTTCTTGAGATCTTGAGATGATTTCGGGGCTTTTTTTAGTGTCCCCGCGGCCCGGTCCTAGACCAGGCCTCCACCCCCAGGAAGCAGCCCGTGACAGCTGACTAACACCCAGGTACCTATTTTACTGCTAGGTTACAGGGGCATAGGGTGAAAGAAACTCTGCCCATTGTTTCTTGCCGGCGCCTGGGATCGAACCCGGGACCATAGGATCACAAGTCCAGCGTGCTGTCCACTCGGCCGACCGGCTCCCTAGGCACTGCATAAATATCATAGGTCCACAATTGTTCAACACTTTCCCAGCAAATATAAGAAATATTGCCGGAACAACCGTGGACATCTTCAAGAGGAAACAATCTTGTTTCCTCCAAGGAGTGCTGGACCAACCAGGCTGTGGTAGGCATGTAGGCCTGCAGGCTACTCCAAGCAACAGCCTAGTGGACCAAACTCTCAAGTCAAACCTGGCCTCGGGCCAGGCTTGGGGAATAGAAGAACTCCCAGAACCCCATCAACCAGGTATCATCCAGGTATCAACATCAAAGGCCCAAGCTTTTCAGCACTCTCCCTTTACACATAAGGGGCAAAACTGGCCGACCTCTCACTGTGCTCAAGAGAGAACTCTGTAAACACCTCCAAAGGATACCTGATCAACCAGGCTGGGATTTATATGCCAGGCTGCAAGCAGCTGCACCCAGCAGCCTGGTTGACCAGACGATGCACCGGGAGGCCATTGATACAGTAGTAGTATATTGACTAGTAAGGAATTCTTTTAAAATAAATGAAGCTAAAAAACAAACTTAAATATTCCTAGGTCTAGTATAGCACACATGTACTATATTAGGCCTCAGATATCATGTATTAGGCCTAGGAAGGTTAGGTTAGGTTAGTTTATCAAAGCAACACAAGTAAAAAAATTATTTTCTGGTTTGGCCAACTCTAGTTCAGATTTCTACTTTCTAATTGTGTTGTACGTCGGTATACAGTATATACTATGGTCGTCATCATTACTATAAGTACTACCAAGACAAGAAGATGGGCTGAACAATGATAGTGTTGTAGAAGATCCTGACTGTAATAAAGACTATGTACAGATACTAGTAAACCCAGTGCCGATTGTGAGGTTCACAGCATACAGCCGCAGCTTGGTGCATCTATTTATTATGAAACGGGACCTCATGTTTTTTTAGAAAATGAACTTGTGAAAAATGATTCATCTTCAATATTTTGTGACCAGGATTCTGATAATAGCAGTGTTGTAGCTAAAGTTAGTGATGTGCATAGTATATGGGGAGACACTTAGCTTTGTCAGGTGCCATCAGCAACTGACTAGCGTGTGGTACTATGCTGTGCTTGGATTATGAGATTACCACTCTCACCACCAGAACTACTTAATTGGTTTGTAATGGTGCATAAAAATGTAGATAATTATATATAACACTTGCATGCAGTGTATTGACAGCAAAAACAGTATGTTCTATTTTCAGAGAATAAAATATTGTGCACATCAAAGCACTTGAAAAAAAAAAAACATGGTAAGAGCATTAAAAATGATTATTATATATTCAATGCATGTAGCTACAACTTTTGCAAAATATGTGGATCTAGGTTGAACTCTGATTGCTGGTTATGATATTACACCCACCAGAACTGCTTACTGGTTTGTAATGGTGCATACAAATGTAGATAATTAATATGTATATGCAGTGTAATAACAGGAAAAACAGTATGTTTTATAGTTCTAAGAATATAATGTGGTATGCATATTATTGACTATATTTAAGCATACAAATGTTTCACCGATTTTATTATACAAATTTATCAATTGACACAGTTGAATAATAGTGCCAAAAACGGGAATAACAAATCAATGACATTGAAATGAATATGTAACAATATCTTCGCATTAAATCCCACCTCATGCTTAGCCCTGGGCAATTGCTCCACGAGTGCTTGTGAATCATGACATCATCGCAATATTTCCTCTCAGCCACAGCCAAAGTCACCATTTTTTTATTTATTTTTTCCTCCATGATTAGGAAATGCATTCCAACAATATTAGAAGAAAACACATTGGAGAATTTTTTGTTTCCATGACACCAGGGCATTGTCTTAAATAAACAGGGATGCAGCCCAAGGATTAAAGACTTGTCACATTGGGGTATTCAATTCATGGGGCCTGGCATGGGAATACTGCCCTAGGTGAACCAAATGTCTCATGCCTCAAATTCAAATTCAAATGTTTATTTAGGTAAAATACATACATACAAGGGGTAATACAAAAATTGATTAATTTATAGATAGAGCTAGTACATACAATGCCTAAAGCCACTATTACGCAAAGCGTTTCGGGCAGGACAAATGCCTTTAAGAGTGACCAAGGTAACAACTCTGAGAAGATCATTTCATTCACCCCATTCATTTTTTTTTTGTTTAAATCTTTTCAGGATAGAAATTTTGGATTCTTGATTTTGTATTTTCAGCATTTAATTATATTTGTATTTAGTTTTCTTTATTTATGTACTGTATTTTGCATTGTGTGTATAACATCTGCTCAATTAATATTTGACTGGAAAGAAATTTTAAGTATACAGTCTCTTATTGTATCAAATTAATGTTTGACTTCCTTAATAATTTGTTCAATGATAGCCATAACATAGTTGAAAACACTCCTTTCAGATTATCTTCAGAACTGAAGTACATTTGTAATATTGTATGTGATATGTTTTAATACATTGGAAGTTATAAATATAACCACTTTTGAACATAAACTTACCCGTTTCTTCCCTAGATATGCTTCCAGCGGGCTGAATATGATCGAAGCAAACCGTGACACCATTTTATTAGCACTTGAGAGGGTGTTTGAGCTCAGACCGCTACAAGCAGAAAAACTCTTCGCCGAGATCTTGCAATGTGTTCGCAAGAGGGATCTCGTAAGTACCTGCAGCGTTTCGTTTAATGTTGTATATGTAATGCTTTGAAGTTAATATGAAACTTAAATTTGAGCAACCATATCTAGAGGCTGTGATTGGAACAGGGAAAATAACTATCGAGATCTTATTGTATTTTACGAGTTTTCCCTGGTTCTAGTAATACTCGGAAGGAATATTTTTTACATGTTTAGAATGTACATGTTCCAGAGATGTATTAATATCTGTTAGAAGTGTCATACATTATGTGTTTGTGGTATGGCTTGACAGGCTACATTCCTGAGTGGTGGATAACTGAAATAGTAAGCAATTACCTTAGTACCCCAGGGATCAATGTATGACAATAACTACCCTCTAAGGTTTGAAGATACAGTGCTGCCAAAGATGAAACTTTGGAAGAAAAGCAGCAAATTGCCTTGGAGGTCAAAAGAATGCAAGAGAGCCAGTATATTATACCTCCAGGTAATGTCATATGCATTCTCTGGGTCAAAAAGCACAGCAACAGAAATACCAACTAAAAATGCACTATGAATATAGACTTCCAAGTTGACCAGGATGACAGTTGTGTTGCAACACTTCTCAAAGCCAAGTTGAGGGGGAAATGAGGCAATGATTATATTCTAAAACACTTAAGGCACATGTTAATTATACACATCTGGTTGGGGCAATTGGGCAAGAATACCCAGGCAAAGTGCTCTTCAAACCCGGGTTCTTAACTGGGAGAACAGCAGCATTTAGCCAGGTGTTTGGGATGGACTCGGTATCACAGATCTGATTACAAATCTGCAATAAAAACCCAAAGAGATGGGCATACAGTACCTGGATGAGGTTTCAAGAGTTTGTCTCTCAACCTCGGCCTGAGGCCAGGTTGAGAGACAATCCGTGACTTGTGATAACTTGGTCGAAACAGGCTGTTGCTTGGAGCAGCCCACAGGCCAGGGTAGGGAGATGGTGTAGCATTTCATAATAAAAATTATTAGAGCCCACTGCTGTAAAGTGGCAACTTGGTTGTGTAGGTTACATTTCTTACCTGGATTTTTTTTTTATGCGCCCACTACTGTTGACTATAATTCTATGGCCTTGGAGAAGCTGTACTTGATTTCAGGGTTTATTTTTTTTCACCTTCTTCCACCATCAGCCGATTGGTGTACCTCCTGAACCCACTTGATTGTTGAATCAGGTCTGTGTTTTTTTGTCCTCTACTCACTTTCAGGTCTCTCAGTCTCCTGAAGATTTTTTAAGGCTATTTTCTTGACTTTGGCTATTATGAGTCATTAGTGAGCTTAATTCTCTTGTCTGAAATGGGGCTTTTTGCTTTTCCAGGGTTGGGTATCAATCTCTATCTTCAGTCCTCTCCTGCCTTTCTGGTAAAGAAGCAGCTAGCATTCACATATGGCCATTAGTCATTGACGCTCAATTTGTCTAGCCAGGGTTTAGAACACTTTGTCCAGTGGCTGCAGTGTGGTGTTACCCATGCTCAATTTTCACTGAATATTCAAAGCAGTAGCACATGTTAGTTTCTAATGTTCTAAGTTCCACGGCTTGGTTCTCTCAGATCATCAAGAGGCTCATGAAGTTCAGCCACCTTGATGTTTATCTATGTGCTCATGATGTACAGAAGTATGCCACACTTTGACATTCTTTGCCAATATGTCCATACTTATCTTTGATGGGTCTAGATATCAGTCCTGGCTCTCGGTAAGCTGAAAATGTCACAGGTGCCCAACTTGGGTGTACAGCATTTTGGTATCAACTTATTGCCACAAGATCCCAAACTGGAAGGGGCATTGTATAGCAAGCAATGCACTATTTTTGTTTGTTGTGCACATGGATAGAGTTGTATTTAATTATAGTCACAGGTGAAGGGTTATCGACTCAGCAGGAACCGATTAAAAAGCTTTTTGTACCACCGTACCAAGAATGTCCCCTACTTGACTCATGATCCTTGATCCAGTATTTATTAATAATATATATTGTTTCATGTAACATTATAATGCTCTAGGCTATGAGGGTACTTTATGTCATTAGTTTTAATCAATATACAGTAGTTGGATAGTTTACCTTTCGGTATCGAGTCTAATTTCATAATTAATATTTTTTTAACAGATCACCGTCTTCCGTTTGAAAGAAGGTTCCGAGTTAGACCAAAGCATACTCTCTGCACTATTGCATGCTCAGAGACTCAACCCGCCTGAGCAACTGTCCCTGGCTCTTACGTGGAATCGAGTGGACATAGCCAGATCTCATGTTTTTATTGAAGATGTTGAGTGGTCTCAAGGTAAGAAGTTTTTACAAGTACAGTATTTTAAAATATACAGTTTTGTTACTCTATACAGTGGTACCTCGGTTTAAGAGTTTAATCCGTTCCTGGAGACAGCTCGTATTCCGAAAACTCGTAATCTGAAGCTAATTTCCCCATAAGAAATAATGGGAAGTGAATTAATCCGTTCTTGACTACCCAAAAACCTCACTTCAAATTAAATTTTATACCTAATTCATCTAAATAAACCTACAAAACTATGTTCAAGTTATTACTTACCCTTGTTGTTGAATGCTGTAGGCGTATGGAAGATGGTGAGGAGGAGGGAGGAGGAGAGGTGTTATTGTTTGGAAGGGGAGTCCCCTTCCATTATAACATCAGGCAGTGAGGAGTTCACTGGTGTGCACACACTGGCACATTTTGCCTGCATACCACTAGGACTTGCTTGTTTTACTAAGAATCTGTCTAAAGACACTTGTTTTTCCCTACGTTTTAACACTTGTCTGTAGTAAGACATCACATTGTCATTTAAAAGGTCAATGCAACGGCCTGCTACAGCTTTATCTGGGCGAGTTTTTTCAACAAAACTTTACAGTTCTTCCCATACTTCACACATTTTCTTAATCAAGATGGGACATCCTTTACTGTCTTTACTAACAGCTATTTTCTTAGGTTGAACCTTACCAATGGCTTTCTTGAGACCCATGGCGAGATATATAACAACTTTTATGCTCAAATGGCCAAAAAAAAGTAAAAAAACTGTAAATCCTTGTGAAGAATTAAGGTGGGATAGTCACTGGGCACGAGACACTGGTAAACTGAGGCGCGATCGCCGTGCCACCAAGCGCTAGTCGGCCTGTACGTGTATCAACAAACTCGTGTTCCGAGGCAACCCTCGCCTTCCGAGGCAAATTTTCCGAGCAAATCCTGCTCGTATTCTGCAAAACTCGTATACAGGGACACTTGTATTCTGAGGTACCACTGTATACTTTGTTTGGCACGGTAACTTAGTTTTAGTAGTATTTTGTCCAACATAATAAAATGTTAATATTTTTATGCCTTAAAAAGTTTTGCTTTTACTGTACTGTATAAAAAGTTGATTTTTGAGGATGTAAAATTATCTGTAATGACTAATTATTACATGTGGATTCATTTGCAGATATTTTCAGTCTGTTTCAAGTACAGCATTATAATATTTAGAAGAAGCCTTTCAAATATCTGCTGAAAAATTTCACTTGCAGCTTTAGTAATCACATTCAAAGCAGTCACCATATTTTTTTGTACTGAAAAAGGAGAATGTGTGGAAAGGTTGAATGCTTGTATTAACAACTGAGGCCAAGTTGCCTTTGCTTGCGAGGGGAGGGGAAGGTAAAAATTATTTTAGAAATGCATGTTTCTCCTAAAGCTTTTGGTGCCAACAAGTTGTCAGTAAACCTCCTCTAAACCTGCTTGGGTTGATCATGGTTATCTTGAGATTTCTTGAGGTTATCTTGAGATGATTTCGGGGCTTTAGTGTCCCCGCGGCCCGGTCCTCGACCAGGCATCCACCCCCAGGAAGCAGCCCGTGACAGCTGACTAACACCCAGGTACCTATTTTACTGCTAGGTAACAGGGGCATAGGGTGAAAGAAACTCTGCCCATTGTTTCTCGCCAGCGCCTGGGATCAAACCCAGGACCACAGGATCACAAGTCCAGCGTGCTATCCGCTCGGCCAACCGGCTCCCTAGATGGTTGTCATTAACAGTGCCTTGATTTCCACCACATGCTTGTCTGTAGCCATATGACAAAAACCACAATTGTGACAAAGTTTTATGGCAGAAGTTGAGCTTTAATAAGTACTTTGGCATGTCTCTCTCTCTCAACCTTCAGTTGACTGGGTACATGTTCTTGTGCCTTTTGGGTTATCATATCAACCCTTCTCTTTTCCCTGAAGCTATGTATGGAGTCACTGAACTCTTAAATTTTGACGTGTTTTTTTTTACCTCACTTGTTGGATGCCTCCACTTCCATTTCTCGTGTTACACTGTACAATGACCTGTTCAGGTGGGTTGAGGCTGGGGTTCTCTCTCAAGTCTTCACCATACCAATCTGGGTAGATGGCCTCCAATATTGGTGCAAACTTGCATTACTGTGCAGGAGATTGCGGTTCTATGGCTTAAGCTCTGATGTATCACTGAAGGGCTTATCAATGCATCTTCATTCTGATAGGCAATACATCCCCGGGGATGCATTGTCTTGACTGGGGGCTCTTCCAGGTCTACTATTGTGACAATGGATACTCACCATAACTTTTCTAGCTTTTCCAAACTTTAGCCCTCATACTGGTCTACATTCACAAAGCACTGAATAGGTAGGCAGATGGCCTCTTGCTTTTGTATGATCTGGACAGAGTGGATTTAGACAGATCCTTGCTCTTTTGGATATTCCACACCTTCAGCAGTCCCTAGGTTAATTTGCTCATGTCTGCTTAAACTATAAACTTTTCATGTATGTTACTTTGTCCTATGTCTATAATGCAGTTGTTGGAGATGCATTTTATCTCGATTGAAACCAGTGAGAGATGATACATCTTTTTCCTCCAGTCCTGATGCTCTTGATGGTCCTCCTTGAGAAACTGGAGTGTGCTGCAGGTCACATGATAATTTGCACTTCCCTGCTCTCCAAGTGCCACAACCCAGATTTTGTCCTGACCCATGTCTTCAGAAGGATTTGCTGGCGATTTCCACCTCTAGAGAGCTTGGGATGTTGGTTCTTATCCAGCACCTTTGAGCTGCCAATATGAGGTGGCTTGGCAGGCACTTCGATGCTTTCATGTACCATATCAGCCATTTTCTCTTTCTGGTCCTCATGCATGTTTTTTTTCTTAGCATTTCACCGATTCAAGGGCGATGCCTAACATCACTGGTTCTTATCGAGCTACTCTAGCAAAACTTTTACATTCTCAGTTTCAGTATTGATCCCATTCTTTTTCTAAAGCTTGGTAAGGCTTTAATCAAAACTATTCTTTCCTGTGTACATTAAAACCTTCCTAGTCTTTCCATAATTTGCTAAGTATACAGCATTTCCATCATTTGAAGATCTCGCACACAAGATATTATTCTTATTTGGATGTGTGACTGAATGTATGGGGAGGGGGGAGGGTTGTTTTGAAAATTACATCTTCATATACAGTAGACTTAGTCAGATTATATAAACTATTTTTCACACAGGTGCCTTGGAACAAGCAATGATGGATGCACTAGTGAATGATCGCATAGAGTTTGTTAAGCTTCTCCTGGAACAAGGTGTTACTATGAACAAGTTCCTTAGCATCCAAAAACTTGAAGAACTTTATAATTCAGTAAGTATTTGTAATGACTCAGTCATGTAAATAAAATCATATGTTGGTTTAAATTCTCGTAATAATGTTGTTATCTTTCTCTAGGCATATAATAGCAATCATAAGAGCACTCAATGCACAGACAAACTGCTTTTATTTGAATTTTTAGGTCAAAGGCTGAGCTTTTATCACCTATAATGATAATAAAAATGAACTGGTTTAGTATTAAGTAATGTATTGGTTTTATTTTCTTCTTTTAAAGCAGGTAATATTTCCACTGAAAATTAATCTCTTAATTCTGACAGGATAGTCTAAAATGATAGTGATTTGCATTTAAATATTGTTTGCAGTTAATCACCTCATGGAGTATGAAGTCCTGAATATCATGCAGTAAGGACATAAATAATAATAATTCATTGTGTCGGGGGGGACAGGAAGCCAGAGTGTATATACACGGTAGACTTTCAACCTCAATGCTACTGGTTGGAAGTGCTTACCTATCATTTTTTGTTAAACTTTCAAGATGGAACTGGCTTCAACCACCTCTTCCTTCAATGCATTCCACTTGCCAACCATCTGTGCAGGGAATGAAACTTCCTTATATCTTTACAACTCAACTGCGTGTCCAGCTTCTAGCAGTCCTCTTGTCCTACATCCTCTCTCATTTTTTTACTTTCTTTGTCCACTTTATCTGTTTGCTTCAGAATCTTATATATAGTGATCATATCCACTCTGCTTCTATTCTCTTCTAAGATTGTAATCATGAGTCCCCTCAACCTGTCCTCATAGATGAGCCCTCTCAATTCTAGTACTAATCTAACTGCAAACCTCTGAACTTTCTCAAGTTTCTGTTTTATGTTTCACAAGGTGTGGGGTTCCATGCTGGTGGTGCATACTCAAGTATTGGTCTCACACATGCAGTGTGTATGGACTTGAGAGCTCTTTGTTTAGCTACTTCAATGATGTTCTTATGTTAGCTAACTTCCCATGTTCTACTGATGTTATCCTGTTCTCATGAGCTTTTGGTGTTAGTATTGGGATTATGTCTATTTTCAGGTCTTTTTCAATTATTGTTTTTTGTAAATCCCTTCCTCTTAGGGTATAGTTATATTCAGGTTCCTTATCTCCCTTCATTACTTTATTTTATTACTTTACATTTGTTTCAATTGAATTCCAGCAGCCATTAATCTGACAACACCTGAAGTTTTTAGGGTCTTCTTGCAGCACCCTACAGTCCTCTTTAGTTCTTACTCTCATCGTTACTTTTTCATCACCGGCAAACATTGACAGGTACAAGCTCACTTACATAAATCAGAAAGAGCAATGGCCCTAGAACAGAGCCCTGTGGAACATCAATTTCCACTCAGTAGCTAAGAATATAAAATTGTTTTCCTTGTATTGCCAGTTATTGATGGAGGTGTTAAGAGGTTTGATCTGCTCATTATTGATGTAGTGAGCAGCCTCTCTCAGTAGTAGATTGAGGTAGACACTCCTCCATCATGCTACCCCTTCACTATATGGTGAGACTAATGGCAAAGTGCCTCGTTACAGTGGGTCAAAAAGTGGACAAGAGCCTGGGATAAGATTCACGAGGCAGTTACGCAAGCACTTACGAACCTGTACATCTTTTCTAAATCTTTGGCGGCTTTGTTTACAATTATTAAACAGTTAATGAGCTCTGAAACACCAGGAGGCTGTTTATAACAACAACAACAACAGTTGATCGGGAAGTTTTCATGCTTGTAAAGTGTTTTAATAAATGTAACCAAAGCCGTCAAAGATTGAGGAAAGATGTACACGTTCGTAAGTACTTGAGTAACTGCTTTGTGAATCTGGCCTCTGGCCCGTAGTATCCTAGGTGGATCATGACTTTGCCTAGGAAGACAACCAAATGGCCACTTCGTAGCATTTCAATTCTCTTAACGTCTTATTTTTTAATATTTTTGTCACTATTATTTTATGTACATGTATTAACATAGTTTATATGTATTGAATACCTTTGTTGCCTTATTTCACTTTCATCTTCTCGGGTGAAGATGTTTTACTTGTCTTCATCTGTGCACTTGTTGCATGGTTTTACTTTGCAGTTGTTGTGTGCCATGTAAAATAATGTTTGACATTTGATCTGTCTTCTACAGTTTCTATATTTTTTTCAGAAATGTGGACCATCTAACACATTACGCTACATAATCCGTGATGTAAAAAAGAATATACCTCGCGATTACCGCTACACACTAATAGACATTGGCCTTGTTGTTAATAAATTAATGGGCGGTGCATACAGGTGGGTATTTCGTACTGTAGTTACCTTTTTTCCTCACCCTTCTAATTTATGGAGTTATCTCATTACAATACTTAAAAATTCTTAATGGTTATTTTCAAGTAATCTCAGTTATACAGGAATGAACTGAAAAACTAAAAGATTGCTTATCTTGTGCTCCAATAATCCATTATTTCAATAGTAAATTATACACGATTAATCAGTTCCGGGTAGCTTTTTCTTGAGGTTATCTTGAGGTGATTTCAGGGCTTAGCGTTCCCGCGGCCCGGTCCTCAACCAGGCCTCCTTTTTGTTACACACCCGCAGGAAGCAGCTCGTAGTAGCTGTCTAACTCCCAGGTACCTATTTACTGCTAGGTAACAGGGGCATCAGGGTGAAAGAAACTCTGCCCATTTGTTTCCGCCTCCACTGGGGATCAAACCCAGAACCTCTGTACTACGAATCCAAAGCGCTGTCACTCAGCTGTCAGCCCCCCATCCGTCAGCTTAGACCAGCTAATGCCACTACAAAGCTGTGGCATTAGCAAAAACTTTGGCAACACACAACAGTTGCCTAACTCCTTGATACCTATTTACTGCTAGGTAAATAGCAGTAAATCAAGTGCTCAAGTGAAAGGAAATGTGCCCAACCATGTTTTGTCCCTCGTGGAAATCAAATCCAGGATCCTTGGTTGTGAGCCATTAATGTAGACCACTGCTTTACATACATACTCATATATAAACATGCATATCTACTTACCCATCATGATCCCTCACATAAAGCATCATACAAATTTTGCTAATTCAGTTATGCGCATCAGTTCTCTTTTTCCCCAAAGTTTTAATGAGACGACAAATTTACAAGTGTGTCTCAGTGCAGACTGGAACAGGAATGGCGTTCCCTCTATAGGCGAAGAAAATGAATCGCAGAACAACTTGAGAATCATACCCTAACTCAAGAATGACAAAGGAGGTTAGGTAGAGAAATAGAAATGATTTAACTAAAGCTACAAAAATCATATAAAATCCAAGAGAGACAAAGAGAGCAAAAGCCCATCAGTAAAATAGAGAGAAATCTAACATATTTTTTCTCCTATGTAAAATCAGGATAAAAAAAACTACATCTAGTATCGGGCCCCTGTGAAAGAGAGATGGAACTTTCACAGATGACAACAAAGTAATGAGCAAAATACTGAGGATTCAGTATGACTCTGTTTTCAGCGAGCCACTCGCGAGCCACACTAAAGATTGATAACCCAGATAAACTTTTCATGGATGTGATGCCAACATCAAATCATATATCAGATGTTTCCCTATCCCCACTGGATTTTGAAGAAGCCATAGACAGTATGCCTATGCACTGTGCACCAGGGCCCCTCTGATTCTTGGAACTCCATATTCATCAAGAACTGTAAAAAACCACTGTTGCAGGCCCTTCACATTCTTTGGAGGTAGAGCCTAGATACTGGCATTATCCCTGACATGCTAAAAACAGCAAAGATTGAACCACTCCATAAAGGAGGAAATAAGGTAGAGGCAAAAAATTACAGACTGATAACACTAACATCACACATCATAAAAATCTTTGAAAAGAGTGCTAAGAAGTAAGATCACAAAATACATGGAATCGCAGCATCTCCATAATCCCGGACAACATGGTTTCAGAACAGGGCGCTCTTGCCTCTCACAGTTGCTGGACCATTATAAGATGACCTTAGATGCCATGGAAGACAAGCAAAGCGCTGATGTAATTTACACAGATTTTGTAAAAGCCTTCGACAAATGTGACCATGGTGTTATTGCACACAAAATGCATTCAAAAGGAATTACTAGAAATTAGAAGGTCCATCTGCCTAGAAATAGGCAGATGGATCTACAATTTCCTGACTAACAGAACCCAATGTGTAATAGTCAACAAAATAAAATGCAGACCATCATCCGGGAAGAGCTCAGTTTCCCAGAGTATTGTGCTTGTTCCAGTACTTTTTCTCATCCTCATATTAGACATAGACAAGGACACAATCTATAGTATTGTATCATCCTTTGCAGATGACACTAGGATTTTTATGAGAGTAGACAACATAGAGGACACAGCAAACCTCCAATCAGATGTAAATCAGGTCTTTCAATGGGCTAGAGAAAATAATATGGTATTTAATGAGGATAAGTTCCAGCTCCTGCACTACAGAAAATTTTTTAATATAAAAACAGAAACCATGTACAAAACACAGTAAAATCATAACAGAACGAAAAAGCAATGTAAAGGATTTGGGTGTACTCATGTCGGAAGACCTTACCTTTAAAGAACATAATTAGGTAGCTGTCACAACTACAAGAAAAAATGACAGGTTGGATAAGAATTTTTCAAACTAGAGATGCTACACCAATGTTGATACTCCAAGTTGCTAGTGCTCTCTAGAGTGGAATACTGTTGCACAATGACAGCCCCTTTCAAAGCTGGTGAAATTGGTGACCTGGATAGTGTACAAAGTCCTTTACTGCTATAATCAACTCAGTAAAACATCTAAACTATTGGGAACAACTAAAATACCTAAATCTGTATTCTCTTGAGCGCAGGCGGGAGAGAGAGGTAATAATTTATGCGTAGAAAATACTAGAGGGGTTGGTCCCAAACCTGCACACAGAAATAACATCACATGAAACCATTAGGCATGGCAGGATGTGCATAATACCTCCATTGAAAAGCAGAGTTGCAGTAGGTACTCTGAGAGAGAACTCTTATCAACATCAAAGGCCCGAGACTGTTCAACATGCTTCCACTACACATAACTAGCCAACCCCTCGCAGTGTTCAAGAGAGAACTTGATAAACACCTCCAAAGGATACCCGATCAACTAGGCTGTGATTCATATGTCAGGCTGCGAGCAGCCACGCCAAATAGCCTGGTTGAGGACTGGGCCACGGGGATGCTAAGCCCCAGAATCATCCCATTATTTCATTATTGGAATCATTACAGAATAAGGTAAGGTAACCCGTGTTAAGGGCCAGGTTGCTGTTACCGTTTTCCTTGACGTCGGTTGCCATCGTTTCTCACAATTTTTTGTTTTACAAGTCACCTCCACGCTGCCTTTGTTGTTGTGTTGCAGAGTCTCTCTGCCTGCGAGACCAAAATTAGAATATGCAGCAGCTGTATGATGTATGATGTCCATATCTCTAAAAGCACTATACAAAAAAAATAGAAATATTGCAAGGACATGCTACTAAATGGCTTCCAAAACTAAAAAGTGAGCTATGAGGAGACGTTTGAGGCATTAAATGTGGCAAAGATGAAGCTAGAAGGAAGAGAGGGAATATGATCACCACATACAAAATTGTGGCAGGAATCGACATACCTGTAGTTAACAAGGACGATTTTTTAAACTTTTCAACTTCAAGATGAGCCTATAGATTTAAGCTAAAGAAGCAAAGGTACCAAAAAATATACTGAAGTTCTCTTTTGTGAACAGAGGTGTAGAAAGTTGAAACACTTTAAGTGAGAAGGGGGTGGATGACAAAACCATTGGTAAAAATCAAAGCTTCGTATAACAAAGATTATAGGGTAGATGGGACACCACGAACATAGCTTTTGTTCTGTAACTACATTTACGTGATTACACAAGAGAAAATAGTAGGTTTAGGAGGAGGTCTCAATTCAAAGGAAAATGTCAGTGATTTTAGGAGAATAGGAAAATTTGAGAAGGACAAGAACTACCCCTTAAGGGTGACATTTAATGGAGTGAAACAAATGACATAAGTGTTTAGAAATGCCAGGAAATTGCAGAATGATAAGGTTGGCAAACTTTGGTCAATAAGACAAAACCTCTCAAGGGAAGACTGAGAAAAACTGAAAACAAATCTCGATAAAGCGAAACGTCTAAATGGGAAAAAGAAATGAAGAAAGTAATTCTTTTTTCTACAGTGTTAGGTTCTGGAAACCTAGTGAAATGGTACTTAAAGACAAGACAAAACAAAATCATTAAAGGAAGGGGGAGTAAAGGACAAAGGTAAAGGGAACATGTTCCTGATAATTGTTTATACCAACATAGATGGAGTGAGATAAAAAATACTGGAGCTAAGAGATATAATTCAGCTTAAGGTCCCATGTATTGTTGCTCTAACAAGAGATGAAACTTGAAGAAAATATTTTAAATGAGATGGTATTCCCAAGGGGCTACTCCGTTTGAAGACGTGACATGAAAACTAAGAGGGGGGGAAGGAGTGACTGTGCTGGTGAAAGAACACACGAAGGTAAGAGTATTAATAATCGAAAACCCTCGAGAAGTTGACATTGGCATTGCAGGTCTAGAATCAGGATGATAATCTGATCATAAATATCTAAAGCTCACTAGCAAGCAACACATGGGCAAAGAAAGAACTGGATGACAAACAAGAGGGCCTCATAATGGTCATGAGAGAGACTGTAGTATGGGCAGATAGAGATAAGTCACGATTGTTGGTACTGGGAACTTCAACTTGAAAGCAATAGACTGAGAGGCTTACGCAGCAAGAATGGAGGACATTTGGACAGGCAGATTTGTAAACCTCATTCTGGTTTAGGTTTACAAAGTCATGTATTTACGATTCATGCATCGACATGTCAAGCAGGCCACAAGAATGAGGGAAGGGGATGTTCTGTCAATACTGGATCTAATATTCACCACTAAAGAAGAGGAGATATTTGACATCCAGTACCTTCCTTTCTTGGGAAAGAGTGATTATGTCCTGTTCGAAATAAAATATGCTTTGCAATATAATCTAGAAGAGAATGGGGACATTAAAACAGTTGATAAACTCAATTTAAAAAAAGGACACTATGGGGGAACAGAAAATTCTTTAATGAGTTTAATTGGACAGACTTGTTGCTAGACAAGGAAATATATGAGATGTATGCCAAATTTTGCAAAATATACAATGAAGGCGCACAAACATACCAAAACAAAGATGCAGGACCAAAAAACAGAATTGGTTCAACAGAAATTGAGAGGCCCAGAGAAGAAAAGACAAGAAAATGGGTTCAATATCGGAATAGGCCTAACACACAAACATACCAGCATTACAAACAAGCAAGAAACAATTCCACAACAGTGAGAAGAGGAACTTTGAGACAGGTATAGCAGACAAATGTAAAGCAGATCCAGGGCTTTTCTATAAATTCATTAAAAGCAAGCTGCATGTAAAGCCAAGTGAGAAGGTGGTGGTGGTGGTGGCAAAAACCATCAGTAATTTCAAATCATTATATGACAGAGTACAGTATTGTACTGGGAAGACAGGATACCACGAGCGCAGCTCTCATCCTTTAACTACACTTAGATAATTAGGTAATTACATAGGCAATTATACACACACCCACACTATATATATGACTTAAGTAATGTAATGCCTTGTATGATTACTTCTTATTTTTTCTGCTTTTCAGATCATATTACACACGTAAAAAATTTCGCACAGTCTATGAAAATACAATGATGAAATCTCCACGGCTTCTTCGTAACAATAGTAGCATTTTTCAAGCTAGCAAGAGTCTACTTCAAAAGAATTACAACAGCTCTCCAAAGTCTTATTTAAGTCAAGGCGATATGTATTCCAAGTTTGAGTTTGATTACCCCTTTAGTGAACTACTGGTAAGTTTTATTCATTAGTTACTTAGAATATCTGAAACTTCAGGAAATTCTTGATTAACCTCAAATTTTGAACTATTGCACTACGTTCAACATTAAGTAACTTTAATAAAGCATATTTGCAACATTATGCAGTATATTGCAGATAGACATATATTTATATAATTAGTATTTATAACAAATATAATAAATTAATTGGTAACAAGATGTATGCTTTCAGTATTTTAAATCTCATAGTGGAGGCATGCTGATAAAAACTGGAATCTGTTATCAAAGATCACCAAACTGGAAGTCCAAATCCATTATACAAGAATTAGCTTTTGGAAAATCATTTGCACTTTATATCTTAATATGCTGAGGCATGTATATAGATTGAGTGAATTCTGTAGACTTGGCAAAGCAGTTGTAGCAAAGCTGTTTAAGCATAACTATGACAGCTCATAAAGCTGTTTTAGCTGTTGTAAATAAAAGTGTAAAATGTTTAAATTGATTAGACTTTGATAGTATATTTGCTAATAATCTCATTTGATTTCTAGGTTTGGGCAGTGTTGACCAAGAGACAAGGCATGGCAATGTTGATGTGGCAGCATGGTGAGGAAGCAATTGCGAAAGCTTTAGTAGCAGCTAAGCTCTTCAAGGCATTAGCACATGAAGCTGCTGATGATGACTTAGAGACTGAAGTCTATGAAGAGCTAAAAGGATATGCCAAAGAATTTGAAACCCTTGGTTAGTTAATTTGTTTGAATGACTTTTATTATATTTATATTATATTTGAATAAACCTGCTTTGTTATATACTACTGTAGTTCACTTCGAGGGATGTTACTTGGTTACCCCTGAAGGTAATATTCTGTTGTCCAAGGTAAAACGTATCGTATAGTTGAGCAATCAGAAGTAAGCGAAACATTTTAGACATCCGTGCAGGATCATACAGGTATTAGGGAGCACTGGAGGATATATTCCAACCGAAGTGAGCAGTAGAAAGTTCAAATCATACATGCACTCAGAAGTCTTTACAAGATCCCTCGTTGGGAGGGGCTTTGAACATGCTAACACTAGTAGATAGAATGGAATCAACAAATTTAACAATAAGGAATTTTTAAACCCTGCAACGTCTAGAACAAGGAGTAACAAAAAGTTTCAAAAGTGGATTCCAAAATCATCAGGAGTTCCAAAGCTCTATATGACAAAGATTACAAAGAGGACACTAATCTGTCTCACTCACTGTGACCATGCTCAAAAGTACTATATGGGGTGGAAGCCATTTCATGACACTGGGGATTTCATTCGATCCGTAAGGTCTATGGCAACCGCTTACAGGTCTAATAGATTTGTATTTATTTTTTATATACAGGTTTGTTACTTATCTTACCAGAAGAATAGGGTAGTCAAACCTCTTAAAATAACCCTGAAGAACATTTAGGCAAGTACAAATCCATCATTACCAACCTTCACCCAACACTGAAACAAAAATGACACATTTTATTTAAGATGCAGTATTCATTTTGCCTGTCAAATACAAGAGAATGATTCTTGACTAATAACTTGTCATCAAACTCACTCTCCTTGAAAACGTTTTAGTTTTGATGAATGTCAATCACATTGGGCCGGTTGCTGTTTTTCTGCAGTGGGTCTGCAGCACCTGATACTGTATGACTTCAAATTGTACCTGAAAATTGGTTGTGGCATCGAATATGACTGTTCTCGATCCTGTCATATGACATATTGGATCTTACCTTGGGGCAATCAAATGTGATAGCTCAGAGTATCATTATAGTATCAGTAATTGCAGACAATCAATCCCAGTTCTCCTATCTCCCTATTAGTATGACCATTCCTACTTTAAATGCAGACAGGGCAAGCAAGACCCCGTTAAAATAGTAATATTTATGCTTCTGTACCCCTTATATTGCCTTGTTTACAGTTACTAAACCTTGGGATTAATATCCATGTCTGTTGTGGTGACATATATATCATTTCTAATTACAATTTTAATGTTTTTGTTTTGGATAGTAGTTGTATTTTGAAGCTCAAATATATTTATGTTAAAACTTCTTGCACCAGCTCTAGAAGTGCTGGACTTCTGCTATCAACAAGATGATGATCGTGCTCATCAGCTTTTAACTTACGAATTAAGAAACTGGTCTAAACAAACTTGCCTCTCCTTGGCTGTTGCTGTCAATCATCGAGCCCTGTTATCACACACATGCTGCCAGATACTCTTAGCAGACCTCTGGCTAGGTGGACTCAGGACAAGAAAAAATACTAATATAAAGGTAACAAAAAATTTATTTGGCATTTCATCTTTGAAAATCATATATTATCCATCTGATCATTTTTCTAGTTGTATTATTACCCATTTGTAGTTACAGGTAAAAAGCTGTGGCTGTGGTATCCCATCTACTTCACAAACTGTGGGCACATACCCAAAGGGTGAGGCTGCCCTTGTGTCCTTGATAAAGCTCCAACAGTGGGTGGTCCTCACACTATAAATGAACTTTGTAATGCATTCAAAGATATCTTAATTAAGGCTCTGAAAAAACATTAAAATAAGAATGTGTGTATCCAAAGTAGGAGGCCAGACTCCTAATTTTGCAACTTGAAACATGAGAAGAGGAGGCGGTTAAGCCAGTCTTGGAATCAGCCCAAGTGCCAGTCTTTAAAGAAATATCGGCATATTCCCACGTGATTTTCATGAAGATTGAAATAAAACTCAGGGGTTGTGTTTTCCAAAGAGTTTTGATGCTTACTTCCAGAGTTTACCTGGGTGAAGTGTGGGGAAAGAAAGTGTCCGGGGTTGGAGGGGGTGAAGAGACAGATGGACCCAGGCACCATCAGGTTGATCCATATAATGACAAACCCTAAGGAAACCCAAGATTAACATCTATTATTGAAAACAACAAATCATATAAGCAAATAAAAGACAGTGAAGACAATTAAAAAAAACAGCTTTTCAAACTAGCAAGAAGTGTTTTAAAAGAAATAAGAAAAGTGAAGAGGAATTGTGAAGTGTAGATAGCCATAAAGGAAAGTCAAATTATTTAAGGCCTCTTCTAAGTGTATCAAGCTATGGTTAGAGATATGACTGGTTCACTGAAACAAAGTTAGATCATCTAACCAATAAGGAGGAAGAAGTGGGCAGTATTTTAAATACAACAAAATCTTAAAATACATTAGAGAAGAACTTGGTATCTTGTTTGATGGTGAACAAACATATAGATATATTGAAGATAATGTAACAAAATAATTACCAAGGAACAAGTTAATAAAACAGGAAAACTAGAGCTAAACTAGTTCTTTGGCCTCATCAGAATACATTTTGGATAAGAAAAATAAAAATAAAAAAAAAGAGAGCTTATATAAGGGGCTAGGATCTTCAAAATTCAATATATTTTTACCAAAAATCCAAAATATAAAAAAAAATCTGTAAAAATCTCATAGCTTTTAGCATAATGTTTGTGAAAATCTCTGTTAATTAATACATTTTTGACATAAATAACCACTCCCCACCACCACAAAACTTTCCGTGATGGTTGTCTTGTCATTGTGACCATACCTGACTGTTCTAACAATCAGATTTTTCAGAAAAAATCTAAAAACTCTATATATAAACTTCTTTTGGTCGTTGACAACTATTACGTTGCCCGAACTGAGAGAGGTGGGTTATATGGGAGGGACCGTCAGTCAACGTGCATCGTTCTGAGGTAGGATCTGTGGCGCGGTGTTGCATCATTTTGTTGCGTCTCGCACTGTTCCTGTGCTGTTTTATTCCCATTATTTGTTGATGCCATTATCACAATGACGTACAAAACAAAATAACAGAAAAAGGCAGAGGGAAATGGCACTACATGCCACAAGAATGCGTGCACAATAAGATAAGGGAGGAGGAGGAGAGGAGTCTTGCTGCCTCTTCAAGCCAACACCAGACACCCCTCCCTCTACACACTCCTCACACTCAGCGGTACTGTTAGGGCACTGCCAGGCACTTCCCTGGTACATGGGTCAGTGCCTTTGCCAGTACTGTACATAAACTATATATAATGAATAAAGTTCCTGAAATTTCTTTCTTTTGTAAATACAGAGCACCACTTGGTTTCCGAACCCCTTGGGGACGAGACCCGTCGGTTAACATGTAAGTTCGTATACGAGAAATAGAGGGGAAAAAATAAACTAGAAATGTAAAAAGAAATTTTTCCGAAAAATTTATGAAAAAAACTCTAGGGAAAAAAATCGTCAGGTTCATGGCGTAAATGCGACCGTGTTTTGTTTGTACTCATCAATAAGTGAAGTCCTGATCCGCTTTATAAAAGTCCTTAATTGTTCCTAACTGATTATTAAGACGTCTGGCAAACATCCTCTGGATGTTTCCTGCCAGCCTGCAGGAACATCCTGCCTAAAATATAGGATGATGTACTGTACATTTAAGAAACAAATCTGGGTCACAGGTCTGTGGAGTGTGGTTAGGCTTACGGAGTCAGCCGGTCCCTCCCCCACCACCGACACACCTCCCCCTCTCCCCCCACCACCGACACACCTCCCCCTCTCCCCCCACCACCGACACACCTCCCCCTCTCCCCCCACCACCGACACACCACCCCCACCCCCCACCCCAAACCCATACACACACACACTCTCAAAGGTCACGTGGTTCACGGTTCACTTCAACACCCATATATCGCTTCCTGCCTGCCTGCCTCCTTCCCAGCCTGCCAGCCTGCTTCCTTCCCAGCCTGCCTCCTTCCCAGCCTGCCAGCCTGCCTCCTTCCCTGCCTGCCAGCCTGCCTCCTTCCCAGCCTGCCAGCCTGCCTCCTTCCCAGCCTGCCTCCTTCCCAGCCTGCCTCCTTCCCAGCCTGCCTGCCTGCCTCCTTCCCAGCCTGCCAGCCTGCATCCTTCCCAGCCTGCCTCCTTCCCAGCCTGCCAGCCTGCTTCCTTCCCAGCCTGCCTCCTTCCCAGCCTGCCAGCCTGCTTCCTTCCCAGCCTGCCTGCCTGCCTCCTTCCCAGCCTGCCAGCCTGCTTCCTTCCCAGCCTGCCTCCTTCCCAGCCTGCCTCCTTCCCTGCCTGCCAGCCTGCCTCCTTCCCAGCCTGCCAGCCTGCCTCCTTCCCTGCCTGCCAGCCTGCCTCCTTCCCAGCCTGCCAGCCTGCCTCCTTCCCAGCCTGCCAGCCTGCCTCCTTCCCAGCCTGCCTCCTTCCCAGCCTGCCAGCCTGCTTCCTTCCCAGCCTGCCAGCCTGCCTCCTTCCCTGCCTGCCAGTCTGCCTCCTTCCCAGCCTGCCTCCTTCCCAGCCTGCCTGCCTCCTTCCCAGCCTGCCAGCCTGCTTCCTTTCCAGCCAGCCTGCCTCCCTCCCTGCCATCATGCTAACGGGTAGTGTGTGTTAGGCTTATCTTCGGGAATGAGCCGGTCTCACCCCCACCACCAACAAACCACCCGCCCCCTACATCCCATCTCTCAAGGTCACGCGGTTCAACCGCGTGACTACCACTCACTCCCTGCCTGCCAGCAAGCTAGGCTGCCTGCCTGCCTGCCTGCCTGCCTGCCTGCCTGCCAGCCTGCCTGTGCCTGCCAGCCTGTCTTTCCCTCCCTAATTCTCACTACTTCCATCCCTTCCTGCCTACCTCCTAGCATCTCTCCCTACCTCCCCCTCCCTCTTAGCATCTCTCCCTACCTCCTAACATCTCTCCCTACCTCCCCCCCTCTCTCACTGATTCTCCCCCCCCCCTCATTCATACTGCCTCCCACCTAAGCTTCATCGTCCATCCACCCACCACTGACGCAATGCGTGCATTTGGAGCCAACCTGGTGCACAGATGTTTCTTGATTGTGCAGATATGTAAAACAAAAGCACAGAATGAACATTCCAGCCTTATGGCAATTCAAAATAATAGGAATAATAGGCCGTGAATCTGTGAAGTCACAGTGGGCAAACTGGACCATCGCCCACCCACCACCACAAGCCGGCGTGACGCTTGGCGGACCCCTTCCTACCCGAACTTTGTTCGGGTAGCATGACTCCCCAACCCCAATCGGGAAACTGGAAGTTTCGGATAACTAACGTTCGGAAACCAAGTGGTGCTCTGTATTTAGAACCTAAATATTACTGCATACAATACAACTAAATGATGGCACCATAACTCAGGTCAATACATAATACAACAGTGCCAATAGTCAATGTATTGAATTAAATACTGAAAAAATGTTTTATTATTACTATCTATGTATACAGTACTGTATATGTATTTATTCTTCCTTTGTGAAATATGTGAATTTCACTTTATTTTTTTAATAATTGTTTCCATTTCGATCCAAAAGATATTGACCAAAAACTTTCACATGTTCAAGTACAAATGCCTTGCAATATATATTGAAACTTACATAAAAATTTACAAAGTAGAAGAACCAAAATTATTGTTGAGAACTTCAATTGCAATTATATTTGTAAAACAAAATTACAACTTTAAAATCTTTTAGAGCTACAAATTACTAATCAATTCTCATCATTTCCAAACATTATTTGAAGCTTCCTTCAATTTAAAAGTGTTTAGTACATTTTTCCAATAAACTCAAAACATTTGGAGTTACAAATTTCTAATTGTTTATATTTGTTACATAATTGGAACAGTTTATTTAAAATTTGAAATTGATTTATTGAAAATTTAATTATTGAAAAATTGACCCCCCCCCCAGTTAAGTTTATTCAATAAACTTTTTAACCATTCGATACATTTCTGTGAAGACCTCTCATATAAGATGACCAAACCACACAATACATGCTTTTGGAATGTGACAAGGTGTGCGAGGAACTCATCAATAGGCCCCATAAAAAATTAAAATTAATTATTTATTGATAAAATGACTTTCCTGTTAACTAAAACAGACATGGCTGACAAAGTTAGTGTTCCACTATATCGAGGATAAGCACCATCTTCCCGTGCTGTATTTTCACCTCTTCATATTTTATATTAATAATTTGGTTTGTATTTTTTGTTTCAGGTCATGCTTAGTCTTCTCTTCCCACTACTAGTCCCTCTTTTGGGATTCCGAAGTCGAGAGGAACTCAAGACAATGCCACAGACTCGTGAAGAGCACCAATACGATGACCCAGAGAGATCCTCTGGCTCAGAAAGTGACACAGAATCAGAGGAAGACAATCTTGATATGAGACACGATCATGATCCAGAGGTAAGAAAGGTTGCCGAGAAGAGTGCTCAGAATCATCAGGTGAACAAAGAAGGGCTTTTGCATCATCTATTCATTCCTTTTTGCAAGTTTATTTTGTATCTTTCTTGCTACTTAAACTGCATTTCATGTTGTTATTTATGCAAAACCTCATGTTCAGCTTTTTAATGTTTATCTTTAACTAGGCAACTTTTATGTCACTGATTAAGAAAATTTTTATACTTAATGTGAATGTACCATTTTTTCAAACTTCTTAAAATTTTCCACTTTAAGCCTTTTATTGTGCTGTTAAATAATGCATGTTAAACTTAAGATCCTAATTCTTAATAACAGATGTTATATTTAACCCAACTGATTTTCTTGAATGCTGCCATTATATTTAATCCAAGCAAACTTTATAGAGAACAGACAGTATTTAAACCCAACCAATTATTATTAAGGGCTGTCATTATATTCAACCATGATTCTACATGGGATTGTATTTCCCAGGAACCTCATCAAGTAAATCAAATCAAGGACAACTTTTTTTTTTTTTTTTTTATACAGTTGGTAGGTTTTAGAAAGTCGTACCCAAGATCTCAGCTCTGCTGCAGAGACCATATACAGAAATAAAAAGTCAAGACTTAAACTAGGCCACCACCCATACTCAGCAGGGAAACAACAACAGGAAAAAGCACAGAGTGGGTGTACCATTAAAGCAAAGTGCTATAGCTGAATTAAAGGAAACTTGATTCCAGATCCAAGCAAGGCGATCACTTTAAGAGAGCAGGTTATGTAATGTAGAATAAAGACCACCAAAGCAAGTATGCACAGCATTGGAACCCAATCTAAAAAAAAAAGCAGCAGCATAACTCCAGGGCAAAATTCTAAGTTAAACATCTCAGGAGAGCAGTTGTCAGAGTAACAGGAAGATCAAAGAAACCTGAAATAGAGTACTGGCCTTCTGTTGCAGACAACTGCCCAAGGAAAAGAGCAAGATCCAAGTAACTGTCACAGTGCTGTGATTGAATTGAAACTAGCAAATACTAAATTCAAGCAACACAAATTTTCTCAAGAGAGAAGGATACAAAAAAACTTTGAAAACAAGTACAGAGGAACCTTATGTGACGAGCAACCCCATCTATGAGCATTTCAGGTGATGAGTGAGCCACTCCCAGAAAATTTGTCTCGAGTAATGAGCTTCTGCTCGATTAAACGAGAAAACCACGTGGTGCTTCCTAGCATTCTTGCTGGTTCTCGCCAATTCTCGGATGCCTCCGATGATAGTGTTCTTGTTGTTTTATTGCACAGGACAAGCATTTATTTGTGCTTTTCTTTGGGTTTTTGTGGTTTTGTGACTACAATTTGTAACCCACAATGTCACCAAAGAAGCTGTTTGCTAAAGATAGTATTGTCAAGAGGAAGAAACACAATTACTGTAGATTAGAAGAAGAAAATTGCCTGACTCAGAGGTGGATTCTCCTTCCACACTGTAATCCCTCCCCACTTCTCCATCGTCTCCCTCAAGCCAGCAATGACTTCATAAGGTAAAGTACAATTGAAATTAGTAAAACAAAACATTTATAATAATTACATGTATTATAATTACATTATAAAATTTCATATTGACATTTTTCGGGGTGGAATGGATTAATTTTATTTCCATTATTTTAAATGGGAAAGTTCTTTTCACAAGATGAGCATTTCACATGACGAGCACGGTGCCGGAACGGAATAAATTCGTTAATTGAGGCTCCTCTGTACTTCCATCATCGAAATAAAGCCAAAATTGATGCAAGTTAAAACTCGGAGCAAGAGGTAAAAGTGAACACTCCTGAAGGGCAAGTCACAAAGGAGCTAAATAAACTAGGAGAAAACCCACAACAAAACTCGGGAACTCTGACCTGGAACAAAGTCTGAATGAGAGTAAAACGACTGAACACATACAGGAACAGAACTATAAATCATGAAAAAGAAGCAGAAAGTCACTCCTGAGAAAAACTAAATTGCAAACACCCTAGGAAAGCACTAAAATAGGTGTCCAATAGGCTCAATCCTGGGACAAGTTGCATAAAAGAACACCCCAGCAATGTTTAAGACCTTATTAGAAGCCATGCTGAATCATGTACATGTATTGCTAAACCTGAACAGAAGCAAGTGTAAACTCAATGTTGGGGAAATTTACAAGGCTAACAACCCAAGAAATCATTAAACAAATGGCTGGTATGTGTATGGCCAAAACCAGAACCTCATTGCAAAAGGCAGAGGCTCAATCCCATGTAAATCATGCAAGCCTTCACTTGCATGATTTACATGGCAAGTGAAGGAAAAGCAAGATATGCAGAGCCAAAACAAGCACAGGTAACACAGCAATGGAACAGAAGCAGGTGGAGGGCCAATCCCATTGGAAGCAGGGTGAAAACACTTAGTTAAATTGCTGCCACCACTTTAACCTGCAATACTGGCACACCAAAATACATGTAGTCAGAATACCAGGGTATATTACAAAAGTTGTTACCCTAGAAGAGCAGGTAACAGAGGAAGAACAGATGAATCTTAGGCATGCATGATACAACAGTATTTTAAATGAAACAGGTGGAAGCCTGTGTTCTTTATCAGTTCCTCTCATCATGTCATTCCCTGCTTTGCTCTTTTTTCAGAATAGAAACTTATGTAGCTTGGTAAGGTCTTCTTCCACATCCCTCCCTTCTGTTTCCTGTTGGAGCACAACTAGCTTCTAATTGGGTGTTGATTATTCTTGTATGTCAACAGATTTTGAATCGCTTCATCATTTGGGGCCTTCACCCTCATAACTGTCTCTGCTCGTTTTTGCTGCGAGCTACCAGGGTAAGATCTTTATGATCTCCTGTAGAGTTATGGCTTCATTTTTCGTGGTTGTGAAGATGTGTACAGTGGAACCTCGGTTCTCGAATGCCCCTCTTTACAAATTTTTTTTTTTTTTTCTCGAGCTCAATGCCTTCGAAATATTCAATTCGGTATTCGAGGTTTGCCTTGGTGCTCGAGTTTGTTGATACATGTATAGGCCAACTGAGCACGTGGCCCGCTTCACTTTACCAGTGTCTCCCACCTAGTGACGACCATACTTGAATTCTTTGTGAAGAATTAAATTTTTTTGTGCTTTTTTGGTTTCTGAACATAAAAGTTCTTATTATATATCACGCTATGGGTTTCAAGAAAGTCATTGGTAAAGTTCAACCTAAGAAAATAGTTGTGAGGATGATGATAGAGGAAAACAAGAGATCATTCATAGTGAGACAATGTGATGTCTCACTACAGACAAGTGTTAAAAGTATGGAAAAACAAGTGTCTATAGACAGATTCTTAGTAAGACGAGCAAGCAGTGAGTCACAATCAGGTCCTAGTGATATGCCTGCAAAATGTAAGAGAGTACCCCAGAAATGTCATCACTGCTGTTATAATGGAAGGGGACTCCCCTTCCAAACACTAATACCTCTCCTAATACTCCTCCTCCTTTCCCCTTTACTCACCGTCTTCCATACACCAACAAGAGTCCTCAATGAAGGTAGGATATACTTGTACATACTGTAGTACAAAATATAAGTTATAGTATGTATAAAATGTATTTTTAAGTTAATAGTTTTGGGGGTGTGGAACGGATTAATTCAATTTACATTATTTCTTATGGAAAAATTAGTTTGTTTTCGAATTTTCAGTTTTCAAACCGTCTCTGGGAATGGATTAAATTAAAAAAAAATGAAGGTACCAATGTAAATTACCTAAATGTAGTTACAGGATGAGAGCTAAGCTTGTGGTGTCCTGTCTTCCCAGCACTCTGTCATATAACACTTTGAAATTACTGACAGTTTTGGCCTCCACCACCTTCTCTCCTAGCTTGTTCCAACCGTCTACCACTCTGTTTACAAAAGTGAATTTTCGTATATTTCTTTCATACATTTATATGCCAGGCATTTTGGACATTATATGCATATACACCTGTAGGGAATTCTATTGCGAACACAATGATACCAAAACGAATGACATAGGACAAGAATTAAGGTAAGAAAACTGAAACGAGTATACACATTTCGGTGTCGCTGAGCACTCGCCCGCACGCCGGGAGCGTGACCTCTAAGTTTGCGGCGCGCATGCCGGGATAGCGAAAGTGTTAAGATATGGGCACCATACAACTGTTGCATATTCCAGCTTTGGTCTAACAAAAGTCATGAAAATTTTTTTTAGTATTTCTCCATCCATGTATTTAGAAGCAATTCTGAAGTTAAAAATGTGTAGCTGACCCAAGGCCTGGTGTTGACAGATCCAGCTGGGCTGCTATACACTCAGCTTTTAGTGAGCACTTAACTAGTTGCAATGTAGATATTCAATTTATTTACACCTTTCAATACAATTTGCATCCAAATAATTTTTTTTTTTCTGCACATGGGCAGATGTGTGTGTGCAAATCCACAGCTGTACTCACCTTGTACAGGCGAATACAGATGTGGATTTGTGCAAATCCATAGCCGATGTTAGGGTTAATACTCACATGGTGGTCAGCACCAAGACATCTCTTTTTCTCAGCTGTTATTCAAAGTGGTGCAGGTAACCCATCTGCATGCTTTTCATCGATCACATGATCTTCAAAAGTTCACTACACTCAAGTCGTTATTTTCACTGTTGTCCTGTTCCATGGTGTACTCAGAGCTCCTAGTTGGCCACACCCACACATTTCACTGCCTATTCCAACTGTGTCACACTTTGATGACTCTCAGTGTAAGATACTACTCTCTTGGCAAAATTCTGGGCGTCTTTGTGTCAGCCAGCGAGTCTCTCTCTCTACTGAGCTCCGATGAACCCACTCTGTAGTACAGGAGTGTCTCCTATTTTTTATGTTTGCCCTAGTTTTTTCTTTTTCCTCTTATGCTTGCCAAAGTGAGCCTCCAAGTGCAATTGCTCAGAAATAATGAGTGAATATGTATAGCCAAAAAAAATGTACCTTCTATTCTGAATTTCAATAAAAATGTATAGAACCAATACATAGTCCTTGGTTCTGACCAAGGACTATGTGCTATATAATCCTCCAATCCTTGGTGCACTCTATTGATAATTACGTAATCCTTGGTGCACTCTTTGATAATTACTTTTGGACCAAAACACTTAATATTCCCTTTTCTCCTGTCTTGAATCCAGGATTTCCTTGAGTGAAGATTTTTTTTGTGAGTCAGGCAGAATGTGATGAGGTTTGAGGCAGGGGGCCAAGTGTAGGTTTTGGCACAAGTGCTGCCACCTGCATAATGCTTGGGGGGTAGTGGCCAGGTAGGAAAACTGGTGGTTTGGAAGTTTACTTGGTAGTTCTTATGCTGCCAAATAGTACTTAGAAAGGCTTAAAATCTTATTGACGATAGCATCAGTCTTGTGAAGAAAAGGGACTCTCATAAAAGTCAGGTTTGAATGAATATCACATGTTAATAGTATTGTATATACAGTACGCAACAAAAATAATCATATATAGAGCAACATCTGTCATAAAAAAGTCATACCGAAAGGATCTCGTAGTACAGTTAGGTTCTTTCTCGACTCACAATCAAGAATTCCGGGTGCGAATCCCGGGCGGGACAAAATAATGCAAAAATACCAGTTACCTTGCCAGTCCACAAGAGCCAGCAAGAGGTTTTATGGGATGTTAATGTACAAACTTCATAAAATTCAATATTCAGAATTATTCTTAGTGTAAATAAAATTCAGCTTTTTGTAGCAGTGCAATAAATAATAATTATTGTAGTCGATTGTTCTTAAAAATTAATGACACTGCCGCTTCCCATTTTCATGGGGTTCAATACTGTACTTGTCTGAAGTGGATACGAACACACATGGCACCCATTCATCTAGCAATACTCTCTGTACATTAAATTGAATACTAAAACATAAGAATGAATATTTTTTAAAGTTATGAATACTTGAAAAAATTCAAAGTACTGAAGATGAGGCAGCTCAAATAATGATGGATGAGTGAATACTATTGTTAACAAGTGACCTGTTCCAGCAGCATGAAAATTAGTTTGGGAATGTCACGATGACCATTAGTATTTACAAGGGAAATTCCTGTCATTTATTCTCATGTAACCTGATTGTGAAGTATCAAGCACGTCCCTATAGAATAACCAGGAGCATGCATGGGGTAGTGAAGTATGGACTTTTCAGTAAAATGTTAAGGGCCTACTCAACAATCACATTGACCCCATAATATACATTTTTAAGACTTCGGCACTGTGTACCAAGTATATATTAAATATAAAAAATAAAATAAAAAATTGTACGTGCCCAATATAAAATAATCTTCGTGCTTGGCCTTTGGCTTTTATCATGCTCAACCATTTGCTATGTATTAAACGTACAGTGCTGAAGGAATAACCGTTCCCAGTACCAACTTGCAAGCCCAAATCTTAGTTTATCTACACACGTATCACTGGAATAAAATCTTTATATCTCGAGAGAATTCAGAAGGAACACAAAAAATTATATTTACATGGTATCAAGAATGACTGAATTTGATCTCTATTTACATTAGACTGCTAATTTTCTATTGTGTCCATCCTTCATGTCTGGAAAGAAGGATCACTACAGCATGTTAATGTTTTGTCAGTCATGATGGATGTGCATAAAGATGTTGCTAATCAGTTCAATCAACATCATTTAGATTGATTCCAGGCTTGTGGACACCCTGTAAAATGGGGGATGGTCGCCACTTTGATATTACCTCTTCTGTGGTCGTCTTGCATAGTTTACCATGACCATAAAGCTTGCTACCTAATAAAATGTAGAAGAGTGAGTTTTCAAATGACAATAAATGTATTTGTGACTGTTGTGATGTATGTAGAGGTTCGTTATATTTGTAAGTGTTGTGATGTGTAGAGGCTCACTACATATAATGTATCCCCCACCCGCACAATGTGTGTGATCGTTAAGCTGTGTTTGATGGTCTCTGCTTTGAAACTAATACGTTTTTTCCATTCATTTTTGTTATGCATTTTTCATAGAACACTTTCTAGGTGTGAATTTTTCAGCTTTCAGTCAAGGATAGATTTTGTTAAGATCCTTTTTTTCCCCCCCGTGTCTGGTCCTCTTCTTCTAGGCACAGCTGGTCAACTCTGTGTCGCTTCACTCTCACCCCGTCACCCCAACCCTCCAAACTGAGGTAGGACTTACTGGAGGGATCTAAATAATGTCTGCCAAATCATTAACTCAAATTGTTAAAGAATTTTTAATATAGCACAAAGCTTTTTAATTTGTCCTCATGCCAGTAAACATTCATATTTATGCTGTGTACATATAGACTTTATATGGATATAATAATCTCAGATTTTGATGGAAAATATTCCAAGAAACTTAATAATCGAATTCTTGAATTAGCTGTGATATTCCACAGGGTGACATGTAAGCATATCCAGTATATATATACTGTATGCGAAACGTAAAATCTATTTTAACTTCATCCATTTGAGTAAACTTCTACAGGAATACTGTTTACTCCTGAAAGTTGTTTTCTGTTAAAGCTTTTATAATAGTATTGCACATATCATTTCAAGCTTTGATAGCTAGGGCTGTAAAGATGAATATTAAATAAATATTTGTGTGTGTATGTGTGTTTCAGGGATCATCATTTAAAATTATATTAACATTACTAATACGATTCAGTGATTACCTTAACTCAGTACTTAGTAAACACAATTGCTCTCTAAAAAACTTGCTTAGTAGAACTTGCTTGTTCTCTTTTGAACAGGCACCACTATGCAATAGCAACACAAATGCACCGCATTCAAGTACCCTGTTGGCTCCACCTCCCCAACATGAGAATTCTGATACAGTGGATGGACATGGCACCCCAGTCAGACAAAATGGGGTGTCTATGAGCCATGTATCTCATCTGGACTCAAACATTTTCAATGACCTCCACTCAAAACAGCTGCCAGCAAGAACAAAGTTTTATGAGTTCTACAATGCTCCCATTTCAAAGTTTTGGGCTCATTCAGTAAGATTAAATTTGTTTCTTCGTATTGGAATATGTAACCTGCAATTTTACATTTTCTGTTAATTGGACATTTATGAAAATATACAACACCTTCAATAACCAAATTGTAATAGGAATAATATTTTATTTATTTTTAAACAGATGGCATATGTGTTCTTTCTTTGCCTCTACACATACGTTGTCTTAGTTAAACTTCCTATGAAACCAGACTGGATGGAATGGTATGTTATTGCCTACATTTCGACCCTCATCCTTGAAAAAATACGTGAAATACTTTCAACAGAACCTATTGAACTCAGGTATGTATAGAAATTGTGTCCATGCAAATTTTATCAAATCTATAATACTCATAAAATCAATCTCTCTATACGGAATATATTTATCAATATCTTTCTCACGTAAGCTTCCACTGTGTCCTTGAACATGGATATTTCTTTGTAGTCAGTCCAGTACATCATGCAGCACAGTACTACAGAGAATTTTCAAACATTCCTGCAGGGAATGTAATGCCAAAGGAGTCACTGGATAATACTCAATTTAGATATAACCATCAAGAGATCTTTCTGAAAATTAAATCCCATACAGTATATCCTTTTGGAAATAAAGTATGCAATGCGTTATAATCTAAAAGAGAATGAGGAAGATGAAGGAGTCGAAAAATCCAATTTCAGGAGAGGACACTATGGGGACCTTAGAAAGTGCTTTAATAAATTTAATTGGGGAGACGTGCTGTTAGGGAAGGAAGTAAATGTTTTGTGAAATAGTACATGATAAAGACCCCAAAAGATTTATACCAAAACAGAGATGCAGAACGGGAAAACAGGATTGGTTCAACAGAATTTGTGAGAGGGCCAGAGACCAAAAGACACAAAAATGGAATCTATATAGGAAGAGGCCAAACCTTCAAACATACCAACAATACAAAGAAGCAAGGAACACTACACATCAGTGAAAAAGAGGAAGAAAGAAATTTTGAGACAGGGATAACTGACAAATGTAAAACAGAAACAGGACTATTCCATAAATTCATTAAAAACAAATTGCAGGTGAAGGATAAAATTTAGAGGTTGAAAAGTGGAAACAAATTCACAGAAATTGAAAAAGATATATGTGAAACATTAAATGAACAGTTCCCAAAGTATGTGTGCAAAATGAAATAATCAGAGAACCAGACACAACAAGAATTCCAGAGAACAACATATGGCACAGAGGTGTCTATTCACTGTACTACACACACCATGATATCATGGGGAAAGGTGTGCACATCATCATATCATGTTTGTTAGTATATCGTAAGGTTCAAAATTCCCGTGGGTACAAGGGGCTCATATCCTATTCCTCAGGACTCCAGTAAACAAATGCCATATTGAAAAGAAAAAAAAATCTTGAATCCTTCACTTTCCTTCTAAGGCTTTAGTATAAAAAAAAAAAAAAAAAACAGAGAACTATATCTGGCAACATTTCTATCCTGTGCCTGATCGTCCAAGGCAACCACACTAGGAGTCATTGAACTTTAACCCTTGTATGGCGCCTGGCTATTTAGCATGTGTCACTCTCAGGCGCATACCAAAAAAAAAAAAAAAAAAAAAAAATCTAAACCTGTTAATTTGTGTTCACTGATCATGGGAAAAATAATAAAAAAATTGTAAGTGGCATATATTGCCCGCTATAGGGCGGGGAAGTCTGGCAAAAAACAGGCGCTGACTCAGCGTGCGTCCCAGACGGTTTGTTGCTCGCCAGCTGTCAGGCCGGAATTGCCACAAAGAGATAATTACCTAATTATTTCAATGTCTCTGATTTTTTGTAGTTTTTTTGCTGTAATATTATTCAATAGTGTGCAGTGTAATATATTTATATAATAAAATGAGTGAATCATCGCTGTACTCAAAAATATGGTGTGCATATTGTTGATTCAATTATATTCATCAAACAGTGAACAAATACTTTGTCGGTAATTACACTATATACGCAGGTTATATATAAGTATCTGCATGTTTTGTTCACCATAATGAACCACTAAGTTATACCTAGTGTCACAGTGCTAGCCACAGCACACTGCCATTATTTCGTTCATCTAAAATTCTTCAAACGACTTCTCATGTTCCATTATAAAATAGACATGTGGAAAATTAATCATTTATATGATTTAGTGACCTGGATTCTGATGATAACAGGATTGTAGTGAGAATTAGCGATGTGGGAGGAGGAGTATTGTTGGTGAGAGAGAGAGTGTTGTCTGCTGGCTGACGTGTGGCAACATGTCTGGAATCACGATACCAGTCTAGTGGTTCGCTATGGCGAACACAAATATAGATACTTATATATAACATGTGTGTATAGAATGTAATAACAGCAAAAGGAGTTTGTTGGGAGGAACCATTTAGGCGAGGGAGTGAGGCTGTCGTTTGCTGTGTGACTTGTCATGCAGTGGCCACTATACTGTTTGGACATCATACCAGCTTAGTTGTACAGTTATGGTGAAGAAAACACGAAGATACTTATACATAACATGTGTGAATAGTGTAATAAAAACAATAACAGTATGGTGGGAGGCAGAATGTTGGTTAGTGGGGTGTTGAAGGTTGGAGGGAGTCAGCCAGCAGACTGCTGGCTGCTGTGTCGTGGCCACTCTTGTTGTTTTAGGCTCAGAGTAAATATAACAAAGAAATAGATAAATAAAATTTCAAGAGTCAGAAAAAGAGGATTTGGGAAAGGACATAAACACTATTAACCTTCAGTGGAACATGTACATATAACAACATCAGCAGCATATATCAGAATTGGCAAACACATGAACAGACCTTAGAAACTGAAGCAAGGACCTATTCAGATAATTATTCACAACAAGGTCAGTCCTAGAAATTCCTGCAGCTGCATGATATCCCTACTTTTATAAAGCTCAAGAACATAACGGAAAAGGTCTAAAGATTTTCTACAAACTTATCAGAAAAAAATAGTTATATGAACGGATTAATAGAACTCAACCTAAACATGACTAGAAGAAAGAAGGTCCGGGGATGATACTGTCACAATATTTAAGATACTGAAAGGAATAGACAAATTGGATAAAGATAGTCTTTTTCCAGATGAGAGGAAGGCAAGACCTGGTTACTCAGGTCAAAGCTGGAAATACTAACAAGTCGGAGAAATATCAAGAAATACTCATTACCAAGCAGATGATAAACAAATGGAATGCATTCGAAGCTGAAGTCATAGAAGCTGCCTCGATTCACATCTTTAAGAGCAGTATAACAGCAGTAGAATGTTGTGAAGTGTAAAAGCACCAGATATAGTAGCCAGGTCCTAGACCAATGTTTCTCAATGGAGGTTCCATAATAAATATACAACACAGAAAAATAACACAAATGTCACAAAAAATACTATGATGAATATATGTATATCAATTACACCTATATAGGCACAGTTATATAGGGGGTGAGGGCTCCTTGGTGTATGAAATTATATTTTTTGGGGGTCCATCATGGCAAAAGTTCAGCAAGCACATTCACTAACCTGCACACACAAAAATAGCTCAGGTAAATACTTTTACATTAGAAGATAGTAAATGCTGTAGATCCATGCATAAAAGTTTGCATCTTAGTAGTCTAACACTTTAAATTAAGATTATCTACTGTATTCAATATAAAAAGTGTATTGTGTTATTTTCATAATAGTTATTAATTTAAATATAGTGTTATCTAAATTTATGATTACCAAAATATATTTACAGATATATTTCCTTGATAGAAATATGATTAATTTATTTGCATGTGTATACAGTATATTTATTCCTGTGCATATATCATTCCAGGCAAAAAATAGCAGTGTGGTCTGATAAGCTGTGGAATGTGTGTGACATGACTTTTGCTGTTCTCTTCATGATTGGCATGACCTTAAGACTTCAAGAACAAACTATGCAAACCGGACGTATCATATATTGCGTTGATATTATATACTGGTCAGTGGTGTTTCATTAATTTATGGACTTATCAAAAAATTGTGATTAATGGGAAGAGAAAGTAGTTAATCAAGGACAAGTTTATGTATTAAAGAAATTTATATTTTTGCATTGGTAATTTGTTAGCTTTCTTGTAACCTTTAAGATGTTCTCCGAGTTATTTAAGCTATTCACTAACCTAAGACCTGATGGATTCATGAGAGAATCTTGTTCAGACAAGATAACATACTATACTGACATAACAGGTAACTTTTTAAACTGCAAGCACAAGCACAGCAAACTGGGTCTTGCTAGGGAGTCACTGGAGAGAATTATCTTGTCCAGAATGACCAAAAACAGTTCTTTCAGAAAACTTTAGGCCCAACAGAGATGTCCCTTGACATTACACACAATTGCCAAGGGAGCATCCAGGTAAAATACTAATTGGCCTGCATGGATACCTATGCCAACTGGCACCAAGCAGCAGCAGCACCACATCACCTGGTCCTCACCCCTTGACACCACCTCATATACTTCCTGACTCTCCCATGCCATATAGCAAATAGAAATAGAAGCCTAGTTGTTTCATTATTGTGCTACTCTTGTGCCTAGAGGACCTGCTATCTTAATTGGTGTTGGGGGACTTCTTTAGCTCCTCTTTCACATAAGGTGAAATCATGTCATATTCACAGGAAGAGCTTGGTCTTCTGTATCAGCCTCTTCTTTGTCTAGCAAAATGTTGACTTGTGGAACCCCCAGCTTGGCTCCAAGGTATGCCAGTCTTCAGCTGTGACAAGATGCAGCATCACGGGAGGCGATGTTAAAATTAATCAGTCTAGTTTCCTTTGAACCATTTTTTGGAGGCGAGTCCACAGACCACACTAGGTTATAGACAAAGCCTTGTTTCCACCTTCGATTCATTTCATCATTTCCTCTTTCCTCCAGAAACTCCAGGGGAAAAAAAGGTCCTCCAGAACTTCTTCATTTTACCTCCATGCTTCTCAGGTTTGGCATGACCCTATGCTTTTTCTACTCGTGAACTTGTGAAACATGGATCAAGCTTCTCATCTGGATTGAACTCTCTTAGAGTTTTGGGAAAAGTGAGGGGGAATATCCCAGCCTCCATCTTTATTTGGTATGACTATTCATACATGAATATCCCTTACATCCTTGAATTTGGTGACAAAACTATGAAACATGCTTTCAAAATTTTGTCTCAATACAGGTAATGAATGGAATAGTGTGTTTACAAGCAGTCAACCCAAGAGAAAACATGTGATGCTGATTTTTAAGAAAATAGAGCTTATTAGCACTATCATTTGATGGTGCTAAAATGTATTCAAACAGTAAATGTTCCCATAACACTAAAATGAGCAATCCATCTCAAATTTCTAGAAAATCTTTTTTTTTCTGTTGGAAGCCCTTGTGGCTCCCTGAAGCTATCTTGGTGAGATGGCTCCCTGAAGCTATCTTGGTGAGATGGCTCCCTGAAGCTATCTTGGTGAGATGGCTCCCTGAAGCTATCTTGGTGAGATGGCTCCCTGAAGCTATCTTGGTGAGATGGCTCCCTGAAGCTATCTTGGTGAGATGGCTCCCTGAAGCTATCTTGGTGAGATGGCTCCCTGAAGCTATCTTGGTGAGATGGCTCCCTGAAGCTATCTTGGTGAGATGGCTCTCACATACTAAGTCTCCGTGGTGTAGTGGTAAGACACTCGCCTGGCGTTCCGTGAGTGCTATGTCATAGGTTCGTATCCTGGCCGGGGAGGATTTACTGGGCGCAATTCCTTAACTGTAGCCTCTGTTTAACGCAACAGTAAAATGTGTACTTGGATGAAAAAACGATTCTTCGCGGCAGGGGATTGTATTCCAGGGACCTGCCCGAAACGCTACACGTACTAGTGGCTGTACAAGAATGTAACAACTCTTGTATATATCTCAAAAATATCTCAAAGTCACATCAGCCATGGAGTTCTTAGGCCTACTGGGGACCAGAGCTGGAAACTGGCCCCACAAAGAGGGCCAGGAAGTAGGTGACACTTTGCCACCTCACCAGGTAAAGCATCCAAAAGTAAACAAACCAAAACAGACCACTGCTAGGTTAAAAAAAGAAAAGACACCAAAGCCTCACAACCCACTTAATGAACTCTCCAACTTCGTAAACACATGTAAACTCTCTCTCAAAACTAGTGTGCACTCATCAACACCCCCCCCCCAACTTGTTTGGGTGGGGGTGGGGAAGAGAAGAAGGGGCTCACACTATTCAAGGTTCCAAGCCCTCAGTTCCTACACTGATAAGCTCACACACAAGACAAAACTTGAAAATATTTTAATTGAGATCATATTCCCAAAGGGCTACTCAGTATGGAGACGTGACAGGAAGACAGGAAAAAGGGGGGAGGAGTGGCTGTGCTGGTGAAAGAACACCTGAAGGTAAGAGAGTTAATAATTGAAAACCCTCGAGTTATTGACATAATGGCATTGCAGATCTGGAATCAGGATGATAAGCTGATAATTTTAAATGCCTACAACCCACCAGTAAGCAACACATGGACAAAGAAAGAACTGGATAACATATGAGAGGGCCTCATAATGGTCATGAGAGAGATTATGGTAAGAGCAGACAAAGATAAATCCCAATTGTTGGCACTCGAAGACTTCAACTTTAAGGTAATAGACTGGGAGGCCTACAAGGCAAGAACGGAGGACATTTGGACAGGCAAATTTGTAAACCATCCTTTTGGAGACATTCATGTATCAACAGGTCAAGCAGGCCACAAGAATGAGGGAAGGGGATGTTCCGTCAGTACTGGATTTAATATTCACCAGGAAAGAAGAAGAGGTACATCCAGTACCTTCCTCCCTTGGGAAAGAGTGATCATGCCCTATTGGACATTAAACACGCTTTGCAAAATAATCTAGTAGAGAATGGGGACATTGAAACAGTTGTTTAACTATTTCAAGAGAAGATGCTATGAGGAACTTAGAAAAAAATTTCATGGGTATAATTGGCCAGACTTGTTGCTAGGCAAGGAAGTAAATAAGATGTATGCCAAATTTTGTGAAATATACGATGAAGGCACACAAACAATCACACCAAAACAGAGATGCAGACCTAGAAAACAGGGTTGGTTCAACAGAAATTGCAAGAGGGCCAAAGATCAAAAGACACAAGCATGGAATCATCACAACAGTAAGGAGAGAGGCAGAGAGGAACTTTGAGAATAGTATAGCAGACAAATGTAAAGCAGATCCAGGTCTTTTCTATAAATTCATTAAAAGCAAGCTGCAGGTAAATGATAATATTCAGAGGTTGAAAATAGGAGACAGATACACGGAAAATGAAAATGAAATGTGTGAAAAATTAAACGAAAAGTTCCAAAGTGTGTTTGTACAAAATGAGATCTTCAGGGAACCAGACACAATAAGAATTCCAGAGAACAACATACAGGTGTCTAGAGATGAAGTGAAAAAAAAATGCTTTTGGAGTTAAGTAAGAACAAAGCAGTTGACCCAGATGGAGTTTCACCATGGGTTCTGAGAGAATTTGCACCCGAGTTCAGCATTCCACTTCAGCTGATTTTTCAGACATCCCTGTGTACAAGAGTCATAACAAATGTGTGGAAAAAGGCAAACATAGTTCCAATCTACAAAGTGGTAGCAGAGAAGACCCCCTCAATTATAGACCTGTATCATTGACAAGTGTAATAGTCAAAATATTGGAAAAAAATAATTAAAACTAAATGGGTAGAACACCTGGAGAAACGATATAATATCAGACAGGCAGTATGGTTTTCGATCTGGAAGATCCTGTGTATCGAATTTACTCAGTTTCTACGATTGAGCCACAGAGATTTTACAGGAAAGAGATGGTTGGGTTGACTGCATCTATTTGGACCTAAAAAAAGGCTTTCAACAGAGTTCCACATAAGAAGTTGTTCTGGAAACTGGAATATATTGGAGGGTGACAAGTAAGCTTCTAACATGGATGAAAAATTTTCTGACTGATAGAGAAATGAGGGCAGTAATAAGAGGAAGTGTATTGGACTGGAGAAATGTCACAAGTGGAGTACCACAGGGTTCAGTTCTCCGGTAATGTTCATTGTCTACATAAATGCTCTACCAGTTGGAATACAGAATTATATGAACATATTTGCTGATGATGCTAAGATAATAGGGAAAATAAGAAACTTAGATGATTGTCATGCTCTTCAAGATGACCTGGACAAAATAAGTATATGGAGCACCACTTGGCAAATGGAATTTAATGTGAATAAGTGCCATGTTATGGAATGTGGAATTGGAGAACATAGACCCCACACAACCTATAAATTATGTGAGAAATCTTTAAAGAATTCTGATAAAGAAAGGGATCTAGGAGTGGTTCTAGATAGAAAACTATCACCTGAGGATCACATTAAGAACATTGTGCGAGGACCCTATGCTACACTTTCTAATTTCAGAATTGCTATTAAATACATGGATGGCAAAATACTAAAGAAATTGTTCACAACTTTTGTTAGACCAAAGCTGGAATATGCAGCGGTTGCATGGTGCCCATATCTTTAGAAGCACACCAACAAACTGGGAAAGGTGCAAAGACATGCCAATAAGTGGCTCCCAGAACTGAAGGACAAGAGCTACAAAGAGGTTAGAGGCATTAAATATGCAAAAACTAGAAGACAAAGGAAAAAGGGGTGATATGATCACTACGTACAAAATAGCAATAGGAATTTATAAAATTGATAGGGAAGATTTCTTGAGACCCAGAACTTCAAGAACAAGAGGTCATAGATTTAAACTAAACAAAGATACCGGAGAAATATAAGAAAATTCACTTTTGTAAACAGAATGGTAGACAGTTGGAACAAGTTAGGTGAGGTGGTGGTGGAGGCCAAAACTGTCAGTAGTTTCAAAGCGTTATATGACAAAGAGTGCTGGGAAGACGGGACACCACGAGCGTAGCTCTCATCCTGTAACTACTGTACTACTGTACAGTACTGTAACTACTGTAACTGTAAGTTACTTGCCCGAAACGCATTGCGTAATAGTGGCTTTAGGCATTGTATGTACTAGCTCTATCTATATATCAATCCATTAATGTAACATCACTTGTATGTATGTACCTTACCTGAATAAACATATTTATTTATTTATTTTTACACTTGGGTAATTACACTTAGGTAATTACACACACTGGCTGCCTCTCCCTTAACACAATGAATTATTATTGTTAAAATTATTAAATAAATTTATATATATTCTCCTTTTGTGTACCCCTTTGTGTACCCTTCTTGGTTTCCTATATTGACTTTGTACTCAAAGCTTATTCACTGTTAACCAGACAACTTTGCCTTAGAATTATCTATTAAGAATACTAAATACATGTATTAGTGAACACATTTCTTTCATTAATTAAGTTTTGTTAATTAATAAGAACATGAGCTATTTAAAAGAATTAAGATGTTAACTGAAATTCATTATTCATTGCAGGTATTTAAGAATTCTTGAGATCTTATCTGCCAACAAGTACCTCGGTCCACTGGTGATGATGATGGGAAAGATGATTAAAAACATGGCATATTTTGTTGTGCTGCTCCTGGTTGTGCTGATGGCATTTGGTGTCTGTCGACAGAGTATTCTCTTCCCCAATGAGGAGCCACATTGGAGACTTGCCAGACATATATTTTACCAGGTATGATAAACAAAATATGCCTTGCCATTGAGAATATACATTTAGGTTACAAGTATTTAATTGAGGAATATTAATTACGTGTTTCTTTCTTTGCAGCCATATTTTATGCTGTATGGAGAAGTGTTTGCTGGTGACATTGATCCTGACTGTGGTGGCGAGGGTGAAATCCCGTGTCATCCTGGCCGCTGGATCACTCCAACAGTCATGTCCATGTATTTGTTAGTTGCTAATATTCTTCTCATCAATCTTTTAATTGCCGTTTTTAACAATATATTCATATCCGTCAACTCCATTTCTCGACAAGTGTGGATGTTTCAAAGATTTCAGGTGAGTGATCAAATTTTGTCACATACAGTATAATATAGCATAAAAATCCAAAATTTCAAATTGCAATATTAATTCAACTTTTGAACAGAATTACATATTAAACATATCCACAAGGGCCGTGATGAGGGTTCAAACTTACACCCGGGAACCCTTATCACGGCCCTTGTGGATATGTTCATTTGATGCATCACGCTATTGTGATTTCTGCGTGAATTACATATTATCCTATAGCCAGGTTTTTACTTTGTTGCTTTACCATGTACATTTTTAAATGGCTTGTCATTTTTGCAGGTTGTAATGGAGTTTGAAGGAAAACCCGTATTTCCTCCTCCTCTCATCATCATTTCACATATTCATCGCATCATAAAGTACTGCTTCAGAAGATGGAAAGGAAAACCTTTCTTGTATGACAATGGTCTGAAAATATTTCTTGATGGCGAGAGTCTTGAGCGTCTTCATGACTTTGAGGAAGAGTGCATGGATGGGTACAACAGGGAAAAAGAACAGAAGGAACAGATGAGTACTGAGGTTTGTGAACTAATATATCTTATGCTGTTCTCTACAGTTTCATAATACTATTCCCTAAACCAGAGACAAATACCTTATTTTAATAATTAGAAGTATAAGTTTGTATAAACAATTATGAAGTGAGAGTTTGGCTTATACTCACATACAAAGCCTTTGAAAATTCTTTATATGAACTTTAACATCACTTATTACTAGCCCCTTCCACCTGAATGGTCACCAGCTCTGTCATATCTGCCCCCCCCCCACCACCACCATAAATCACCACCACTATTACCTTAACTATTACCACATCACCAGTGTAAGTCACCACCACAAAGACTATCATTACTACCGACACTCTGTTGGTAATCTTGGCCATGGTATTTTATCAAATCACCTCATTCTTTGGGGCACACGTCAGGAACACAAATGCGAACAAGCCTGAACAGTCTCCAGGCATATATGCAACTGAAAACTCACACCCCAGAAGTGACTCAAACCCATACTGCCAGAAGCATTGCAACTAATGTACAGGATCCCTTAACCACTCGACCAACACGACCGGACAAAAGAGGATGATAGCCGAGGCTAATTCTCCAACCCCTCGCGATGAATTATATAATTCCTATAAATATAATTATAATAATTATAAATTATAATAAACCCCCACAGATAACAGAGTCAACTAGGAATGAAAATACTCGATCTGATTTTCACAAACAATGAAAATATAACCAAGAACATTACAATCTCAGATACAGGTGATGAGTCACAATAACGTGGCTGAAGTATGTTGACCGATCCACATACTAGAAAATGAAGGGATGACGTTTCAGTCCGTCCTGGACCATTCTCTATTGACTTGAGAATGGTCCAGGACGGACCGAAACGTCGTCGTCCCTTCATTTTCTAGTGTGTGTGGATTGATCAACTATCTCAGATACTACATACTCAATCACAAACTTATTGAGATTCAAACCAAGACCAATATGTGAAATATGTCAAAGTATTAAGAAAAGATAAGGGCTATTCAGTAAATTAATTTTTAAGACTAAGAGGATTGATTGGGAAAAATAAGCATAAAACTTGCTGACATCCTGTGAGAAACCATCTTTATACGTTTGTGTTTCAGTGACGCTAAAACGTATCATCTGTACTCTGAAAGTAAATGTTCTGATGATGCTTGAACTTGTCATATGATTGATAATCATAAACATTCATATATTCATTGCTGTCATGCATAATTTTCTTAATACAGTTTTGTTTTTTATTCGGTTGTCTTGAGATCTCATTTGCTAACATTTTGACATCAAATTTGTAGTTATAACCCAACAAATAACTGAAAAACATCAAATAATTGTAAATATTTCAAGCATCACTGAGAGGGACCAGCCAAGCCCACTATGTTTATGTTCGGAAATGCACAGAGAGGAGTAAAATCTATTATAAACACACTTTTGTTTTTGCATCTATTCTCTAGTCAAAATGTTCACAAATGAATTGTCACCAAATTTATAGTCGTAACCCAACAAATAACTTAGAAAACATAAAATGATTGTAAAAATTTTCACATGCCGATTTTCACATTTTCACGAGGGAGCCGGTCAGCCAAGCAGACAGCACACTGGACTTGTGATCCTGTGGTCCCGGGTTCGATCCCGGGCGCCGGCGAGAAACAATGGGCAGAGTTTCTTTCACCCTATGCCCCTGTTACCTAGCAGTAAAATAGGTACCTAGGTGTTAGTCAGCTGTCACGGGCTGCTTCCTGGGGGTGGAGGCCTGGTCGAGGACCGGGCCGCAGGGACACTAAAAAGCCCCGAAATCATCTTAAGATAACCTCAAGATAAGATGGCTGAGTGACCCACGAGAGGCCCTGGGAGCCCGGAATACTTACAGTCGGGAACACATAGAGAGGCCGGACCGAAGTGTTAAGTAACAAAACTCCTGTGCAAGGAAAAGAAAAAGTGACAGCAGAAATTTACAAAATCTGATTGAAATGCAAATGACACTAGAGAAAAAAGAAAAGAACAAGTGAATTGCTCAACCACCATGCTGCGCCGAGTTTATTGTGAAATTCCCCCAGAGCGTATGAAATAAAGTGTTCCCAAAAAATAATTTTTTCTTCGTAAAATGATAAATTCCCTTCCCTGAACATGTCTTTGTAAAAATAAATACCAAATTTCACTTACTGTGAAATTGCTGTGTCGCTGTGGGAACGTGGACAAGGTGCGCTGTGACGTCATCAAGGCCTGGTCGCCGGTGCTGAATCGCCCAGACACGGTCGCGCGGGCCATTCAAGCACCGGGTGTTGCCACAAATATATTTTCAATTATTTGTTTTATGTATTTCCAATGCGGTTTTATTTTATCGTATTTTATTTTATCGTATTTTATTTTATTGTATTTTATTTTATGTTTTTTTTATCGTATATGATGCATATTTGTGTCCTTTACAATATGATACAGTAGAACGTTCATAATGTTCCTTGGAACTGTGATACATGTGTCAGTAATGTGTCCACAATAAATGTTTATTGTCGCAATCTTACCTGTTAAAAATTCACTAAAATTACAATATGTACAGTTTCACACACTTTAGACAGTAACACAAACAATAAGGTTTGAATTTCACCGACAGAGCATTATCTTTCAACACCGCGTCGGACAGGTGTTTGGGAGCCAGAGGCGCTTGCGCCACCCATGGTTGCTCATTTAGTACTAACCCAGCCAGCAGCCCTAGGGCATTCTGGGAATTTTTTCCAAGATGGCTGCCTCTCACTGGAGGGCCTAAGAGTCCATTTCATACACAACCAACCTCGTACACATTTAGAATTGGTACCGAAAAATCAAAAAGAGTTTTCTCGGTTAGCGCAGTTTCCCGCCGACCGAGAATACTCGGTTGGCGCAGTTAAGTGATTAAGCAGTTATGAATATCCCAACAAGGAAAAGATAATTTAAACAGGGAGATTAAAGAAATACAGTACAGACTACAGAAACGTAATTGGAACAGAAAGCTATACAAGAAATGAAAAAGCCAAAATATTTTTTCACATATGCAAAATCAAAATCATCCATCAGTATTAACACTATCGGTGACCCGGTGAGCGACCTGCAGCGCACTTCAAGGTAGGCTGAGCACTGCACGTGAACTCCCCACCTCCCACAAATGTTTATAAAGTAATCTTTTCAGCTTTCTGACCTCAATTTTCGTGCTGTGTCATTCAATTTGGTATCAAATTATTTGCAACAGAATAATCTAAAGGAATATTTGCATATAAGAACATACAAGTTTCACTTTTCTATACTTTTGACGAACACTCACTAACTTTTCTCCCTCATACGTGTTTTTTTCAATGCTTTTGTCATAGATTGGCTCTGTTCTTGATCAGTATCCATCTGAAAGTCAATTTGTAGTGTTTATAAAGCCAATATCAACAAATGCCTGAGATAAAATAACAGGAATGGGGAAACTTTTTGGCTCGAGGAGAGGCCGCGTCTGTTACAAGTGAGGTCATGAGAATAGTGAGCCTTCAGCGAGGTGGGCGCCCACACGGCAGGGGTCAGGATGCCATGTGGGATATACAGAAAATGGAAAGACGTTTATGTAGATTTTAAAACAAGTCCAATGTTATTCAGACAATAAATGGAATTTTTACAAATTTAAAATTATTGACGCCTTTTGCGTCATAAAACTAACATAAGCAGAGTGCGGAATGACGAAACATGCATCATCAGGTAACTAAAGTGTTAAGAGGGTAATTAGCCTACCAGGTATGAACAGCTAGGAGGTGGGACATTAAGAGCTTGATCTGACTACCTCATAGTCACTGATAGGTAACCACTAATAGTTAAACACAGACTGTGTGCCACTTTTTTCTCAATTTTATATTATAGTCAAAAATACAAGTCATAGTTTTGTGTCATCCCTTGTAAACGATAACAAAAATCAGCATGAAGATTACTTCTGTAGATGACATTGAAAACCTTCAGGCTGATATCAATAAAGTTTGATTGGGCAGCTGAGAATATATTTAACAGTGATAAAATCCAGATACTTGTACAGGTATTGTAAAAATGAAGAACAAAATACAGGGCACAAGACACAGTCAGATCCACTCATAGAAGGAAAATGACAAAGGATCTGGAAATAATGATGTCAGATGACCTAGCATTTAGTGAGCATAATAAATTAAATACAGCATCAGCCAGGAAAATGACAGGATAGATCATAAAAATCTTCAAATCCAAGGATTTGATTTGAATACAGTGCTTCCACTTTTCAAATCACTTGTGCTTTCTCAAAGTACTGATCAATAGTACTGCTCTTGAGTACTGCTCAATACTCACTTCCCCCTTTTAAAGCAAGGGATATTTTTTAAATAGAGGGAATACAGATAATATATATATATATGGCATGTATCGACATGATAAAGAACCAAAACTATTGGGACCACCTTAAAGCTTTCAAAATGTACTCTCTAGAAAGGAGATACAAGAGGTATCATATAATATACACAGTACTGTGCATGGAAGATACTAGACAGTCAAGTCCCACATTTGCACAGTAAAATAACAACATACCAGAACAAGAGATACTGTACAGTAGGAAATGCAGAATAGACTGAGAAGAGTAGGTATGCCATAGGTACAATCATAGATCGCTATGAATATCAGAGGTCCATGGCTGTTCAAGAGAAAATTGGACACTTTCCTTCAAGAAATACCAGACAACCCTGTTATACCAAGTTACCCCAAGTCAGGCCTGTTCCCAGGCTGGGCTTTGAAGATGGAAGAACTCCCAGAACCCACTTCAGGTATTAGATATTAAAGGTTATATAATTTACAGGTTGTACAATATATCTAGATTTTCACAGTTATATTGTGACCTTTTTTAAAACACCTGATTACCTCATTATAATATTATATATCCTTGCATATATCTTAAACTGCTCATTTCTTTAATTGTCTTTTCCTTTGTTTCATACCAATAAAATTGAGCTAAATTATATAACCTGTGCTACCAAATGGCATTCATTGCAAATTTTGAAACATGTGTTCTGTGCTTTTTCCATCCTGTATTTCAACCATTTACTCCTCCTATGTTACCTTATTGTAAAACCTACTGAGCCAACAATAAATTACTATATAAACTAGTTTTGATAATGCACTAAACATGCATTCTTAGTTCTATCAATACTCCATCCACAATTTATTCATAAATAACATTATGAATTTTACCATTTGTTCCACTACTAATAATGTCTGTATTATGTCAGTTTTTGCTGTTATTAAATTATCCCTGTACTTAATATTATTGTACAGTATTGAATTTTGTTTATTATTAATATATTTATAATCCTTAACTTAATTTACAAACACTTATAACATTGTACCTGATATTATTAAGCTACCTGAACACATTATACTGTAGTTACAATTCATTATTTCTTATGTTATTAGCTTAAAGCACGTAATAAGTTTCTCGCCTTGACCAAATCTAAAGTGTATTCAGTACGCTTGTTTTAGATTTGCCTGAAATGATGAGCCTATTATAGGATTTTCCAACAAAAATTGCCTTTGTTACTTAAAATCACATGCAAATGTATTCATTATCCTGTGCATTATTTATATGAATAAATAAATTAGTCTATTTCTACATTTTTTTTCTTTGTATTATAGGAACGTGTCCGTGTCATGGCAGAACGAACCGAGGGTCTAACGCAACGAATTGAAGACATGCATACCAAGTTTGTTGCAGCAATGACTTCAGTTAACAATCTTGACTTCCATGTAAAACGATTAGAAGAGACAGTGGAGCAGACTAAAAATAGCTATGCTGTGGTTCACCGCTTTATGCTTAGTCATGTTGGGCATAAAAGATCAACTTCTCCTTGTTCAGGTTCAGGTACCCCACATTCAGAAGGAGGAGGATGTGCATCACGCTCTGTATCACAGACTAGTCTTCATCGAATGTTGGAAGAAACGTCCCAGCAAATGTCCCGGAGACTTACTCCTGAGCCAGAAGTCAGTGAAAAGGAAATGAGTGATACTTATGATGCAGAACATGAAAGTCAAAAACACCTCAAATCTTCATCAAAGGTCTTATGTTTTGGAGAACCTTTGAAGACTTCAAGTCCAACAGGCACAATGGAAGTGTTTAAACTAGATTCCATTAGTTCTGTAAATACTAGAAGAACAAAAGCTCAGAATCGTCGCTCAAAACAGAGATTGGATTCTGAATCGGGAAGTTCTCTGGGTCATGCATCACGAGAGCGAAAGCTCTCTGGTGGAAAGAAAAGTAGTATTCGTAATTCTACAAAACATAGTGATGTCATAAAGGCTTTCAGCCCCTCTAAGGTATGTTTCAGGGATATAGATATTGAGGATGATTCTGACTCTGGAGAAGGTGATCCAGGGACTAGAAAGCTGAGTGCAGAAGAGGAAATGCATCTCAGATACATTAGAGCCATAACGTCTCCTGTTGTTGAGGCTGCTGTGCTTCATTCACCACCTAAATATGAAAGGAGTTTATCTACCTCTTCCTGTCGACCTAGAATCCAAGTAATTCCACCTACATCACCACCTCCAATTTTCACATTTACCAGTGAATATACTAGTTTGGCAGATGAGCTGGAGACTGTTTGTATGTCCAGATTATCTCCTCCGTCATCTCCTCACTTACATTATGCTGGAAGGGTGGTACCACAGTTGCGACAACACCATTGTTCCGATTCAGTTCCAATATCCATTACAGTTAGTTCTAATCCTTTGCGTGATGCAGAAGAAGCCGATTATCAACTAATGGAAGGCTTAATTCAACGAAGAATGCACCGAGATTCAGAAAATTTAGCTGTTTCTCTGGAGGATCTCTGCTCTGTGAGAACAGATGTCTCTGACTCTGAAGATGGAATAAATCCATTAAGTATTCGGAGAGATTCAAGAGCAACAGAACTTCGAAAGCGTCACAGCACAACCAGTATTGATAATAACCCTTCAGAATTGTTATCTGTACCTGGATCTGTCCAGTTATCTTCCTTACAGACCATAAACCAACTTTATCATTCGTCTTCACTATGTGGCAAAGGTACTCGGCTAGCATCCTCCCAACCGGGTAGCCCAAGTGCACGTCGGTCTTCCTTATGTGAGGATATTCACATTCAGTGGGCTTCCTCTGGTGCTTTGCCAGTGTTTGGGGAATGGCTGACACCAAGATCTTCTCCCCGTCCATGTTCACCACCATTTGTACAACCTCAGACCACATCTGTTTATACAACACCTACTGATTCTGCATCACAGTCAAGAGACCTTCAGCCATCTATGGCTACACTTCAGGTGCCTGTTGTCAGTGAAACAGAAGGCAGACCAAAAGACATAATCACAGAAACAGAGTGTTAAAATATAGAAAAATCCTTCAGAAGCACATTTCTGAAAAGTTGTCCACGTAGGTACATCAGACATGTGAACAATTATGGGTAATGGATGGAAATTGTTATCCAATTAATACATTTCTTTTTGTATAATTTTCTTAAATTTATCAAGGTATGTGATGGTATGAATGACTTTTACACTTTAAATATTTATTTTTTTATATAATTAAATTATTATACAATATTGATATAAGAAATGACATAATAATAAATGGTTAGACATGATAAACTTTTTAAAATACAGCATACAGTTTTCTCTATTCTTATGTATATATCATTAGCACAGATAAAGTAGTCAAATTAATGAGAAGCCATATTGAATGTTTTATCATATGTCAACACCATAGGCAAAAAATTTCCCTCAAAAAATTATGGAAAAGCTGCAAATATTTTCCAAGGACTACTATAAATTAATACATTCTCATCATAATTAAGGATGCTGGAGCCTAGCATATATATTTTTTAGCTTCAACTGAAGTTAAACTGATGTTTTGTTTTCGTCAGAATTTCTTGATTTCAAGCAGCTGACAAAACTAATTGTTCACACACATTCCTTAACCCAAATACTGCTGCCATTACCCTCATGTGGTTGGACATGTGATTCCAGTCGCCTTGAGGCAATTTCTGTTGCTCTGCAATATTTTTATGTCCTGCCAGTTCTATGAGGACATCATTCACCACTCCAGATCTCTGATGATTGCATACTACAGTATATTAGAAAAATAATGAGAGAATTTATTACAAATACAGTAGTTAACTTGAATATTATCCCCTCAGAATATCAATACTGTATGCGGCACTAACATCCATGAATGTGAGTCTGGGGGTAGGGGGGGGGTGACTGACATGATGCTGCTATGACAACATATTCACACTTTGATTTGCCAATTGGAGCATATGTGTTGCAACAATATTGTATTTTTCTGAAAATGTAGGGATAAAGGTTGGGGGTGATGATGCAATAGCACTACCTTCTTCAGTAGTCATGGTGGAAAAAACTGTTTTCATGTTGCCAATTGAACCTTTGCTTCCACAAGCTACAGAATGTGATGAATATAGTGATATTGTGATCTGTGCTGATCTGCCAGTGATGATCATTCAGAATGTTGGTGATCACTATGCAAGCTGTATTTCATGACTATAATGGAGATGAATAGAGAGAAAATGTTATACCTTCAGATACTAAATTTCATGAAAATAATATTAGTGAGGAGTTTTATTGATTGTGGAATCCTGAGTATTACCCACTGTAGTATGAAAGTCTAATATCTCAGTAAGGAAAGTCAGATGAGGAAGTGAGGGGTGTGTGGTAATTTTCATGAAGTAGTGTTTCAGACATTCCTTCTCAAGAGTTGCCAATTGGAGCATTTGTGGTACTATAGATTCTGATTCAGATGAAAATGACATTGTGATGCTTTTTGATCTTCTTGTTAGTGGTGGTGGAGGGGGGGTTGGGTTTTCATGCGCTAGCAATAGTAGGGTGAACGTACGTGTTCATGATGCAAACATTAATCATAATGACATCAATAGTCATGGTGTAGAGAACCATCTTTGGTGTCAAATAGAGAAAATTTGCTGCAAATCCACAAGGGCCATGATGAGGGTTCGAACCTACATCCGAGAGGATCCCAGACGCGCCTTAATCGACTGTGCTACAATATGGTAAGAGAATTGCAACCGGGAGTTCAACTGACCTCACATGGATCCTGCAGTCTCTCCGAGACACAAACCAGGGTTTTCACACAATTCATCACGGCCCTTGTGGATTTGTTCATTTGATGCATCACGCTATTGTGATTTCTGTGTGTAATGAAGTAAGGGCAAAGAGGTAGAATAGCTTATTGACAGAGCTCGGGTGCATGGGAAGAATTGTGTAAAACCCAGGTTTGTGTCTCGGAGAGACTGCAGGATTCGTGTGAGGTCAGTTGAACTCCCGGTAGCAATTCTCTTACCATATTGTAGCACAGTCGATTAAGGTGCATCTGGGATCCTCTCGGACGTAGGTTCGAACCCTTATCTTGGCCCTTGTGGATTTGTTCATTTGATGCATCACGCTATTGTGATTTCTGTGTGTAAATTTGCTGCATTTAAATAGCCATTATGACTTACTGAACACTGTGTTAGTGGTGATAATATGCTAGTAGTGATGATGGTGAGTGCAGGTACAAGAAACTTACCTTTTTCCCCACTTTCCCATATGTCAATATACTGAATACATATAAAACATATCCTATATTGTAAAAACTATATTGAATATATTAATGCACAAATATTTTGAAGAAATGTTGTTCAGATATTGGCAAAATATTCTGAACCAACTATTTGCCTAGTAGGCCCTAATAGTTCCAGTGCAAGTAGGCCTAGTACCATGCATGATGCTCCATATCTGACAGGTTGTCTTTGGTATGGAATATTGTTTTTGATACTATATTGGTTATCTGTCACCTGTTGCAGTACAATCCAGGTCACAACTACAGGGCTTTGTGTGCAAGACAACAAAAAGAGCATAAGGATCAGAAAGACATTGCCATTGACATGGTGCGAGGAGTGAAGTGTTGCACTTTGCAACGTTGACCTTCACTGGCTATCACACACTCCACAACTCCAGAATATAACAGCCATTTAGTTATATCCAGTTATATATTTGCATGAAAATTTGTGTTGTGTGCAACTGTAAGACTTGGGCTTATATAAATATTGACACAGTATAAATAAATATAGGGGTATGCGTAGTGTGATATAAATATATCTACGAATGCCCATTTCACATTATGTGAAACTTTAAACAACTAGCAACATCCCAATATATCAATGATCATGGAAAATGTAAATAAAGTGAGAAATTAACTAATAAAATAGAAAAACAAACTGATGCATAGCACCTCAACCCATCACTCATTATTTAGGTACTGCTGTGGTTGGATACCCCACTAAAGCTACCAAAAACTAGCAAACTTTACAATTCCACTTCAGCATGTACAGGATTTACGTTATTTATGTTTGATTTTTTAACATTATTAAAAAAAATGGGGTGGGGGGGGGAAATAGGTACAGAATATTGGCACACAGTTTAAAGGCTAAAGAACTCCATCCAACCCATTAACTTTTTGTTAGGTTTTTGCTTATTCGTAATAAATGATTTGTTAAACCTGTTAATGTTCTGTACTGCATAACCCCGATAGAACAAATCACGGTATCACAAAACACTTATTGTAGCAGGAAAAATTGGCCAACGTAACTACCAGAACTGGGTGTTCCATGAACCAACGCTACTCAGTGCACCAAGCAGACTCACTTTAAACAGTGTACGGTCACTTGCTGTCATTAAAATTGTGCATAATTCTGTCAGGTCACCTGTTTTTTGGTGTCAATAGAAGGATTACACTGGTTCCCTTACACCTGCCTCCCACTTTTGCCAGGGTCACCATGATTTGTGGTTCTTGTTATAGTACAAGAGACAGCTTCTGTACCATATCCTAATCTGAGTTTTCCCACATGATGGGTGTTCCTTGGTCCTGTGAAGCTGTGCACTCTTCTGCATCCATGTTTGTAATATGTTGTGTGGGTCATTTTTCTGCCCTTTCCAGTGGTCAAGAATGACTCATAAGCTTCAATTCATTTTTTACCTGCCTGGGGTCTGTGCTCACATTCCTTAATCTTCATTCCAAATGATTAGTGTGCTTTACCAGGCAGTTTTAGGTCATTCTGCTTCTTTGGACCTTGAAGGCACCTCGGGCAGGATCCCATTGATCCAAAGTTCAAGAATTGCCTGGGGTTTCTAGTGAGGGACACTTCTTAACACTTTCAACTGCTCTCTTTGGGCTTCACTTGGCTGGCATCTTATACCAGACTTATTCACAGTTCTTCAGGAACACTGGCTCTTGGGAATACATTTCCTGGTTTGGATTCCCAGTAGTTGGATTTGCCTGTTGGTCCAGCCCATTCCCTTGATTTGCCACGCCATAAAAAATACAACTGTTGGTTTTCCTTGCGATTCCAATAATTGCTTAAGGCAGTGTTGAGTGATCAGGTCTGTTTTGTCTTACAGTGTGCAGTCAATTGGTGGTTGGTTGAGGTACACTTTTGACCGTTTCCTATACACACTGACATCAAAAGATCATTTGCAAAGTTACTCGTCATGATGAGACTGCCTCAGAAAGGAGTGTTTCCTTACACTCGATGTCTTATTTTTTTATTGTACAATAAGTTGTACAAAATTTAAGTAACCTACATTTCTATTCAATGGTACAGTACTCCCATATGATTTGGAATATGTAAACAACATTACAGCTATCATTCAATTTTAGATTGAATGTTCTATATTAATTGGCTGTGGAAATATGAACAAAGATGTGTTCGATAATTAGAGGTAAAGGGAAAGGTATTTGGCATAATTGCAAATACTGCTAAAACCTTGTTACCACAGAAACCTTGGGAATTGGAAAAGGGTCCAATTCCATATACAGTACAGTACAGTAGTGTAGTCTGTTCTAAAAAAGGTTAACATACATTACTTTTTTCTGAAAGCACCTATTGTTTAATAGAAAACTAATTCAGGATCATTCAAGTAGTTATGAAAGAAACCCCATTAAAAACTTGTATTTATTCTTTTGCAACTTTGCTTTTATAAATTAAACAAATAATTAAAACTAATATTGGAGAATTTTATCAAAGAACAAAGCTCATTTTGCTCACTCATCAATTATACCCAGTTTATATGTTGACAAGACAAAAGATATTACAGTACCCCTATTCCCACTTTCATAAGATTTCCCAAACATTTTCTACACAGTACACGTACTGTCGGTCGTTTCCAAATCCAAATTTTCTCCAGGCTGTGTTAAAGCAACTTGTCCTCCTACAAAGAATATTGCTTTTCGCTCGTATGAGTTACACAAGGCAAAAAATTTCAGTATTGTACTAGAAAATGGAAGCAGCTTGCGAAAGTGACGTACCGTCCCATTTTCTGTTTCGGGTTCTCTGACAGGTTAGGAGAGGAGACTTTAAATTGAGCGTTTATTGATGTTGGAAAATCTTAGGACTACAGGCTGTGTTTAAGGCATACCTCATTATTTTCATACTGCATCTAACATGCACCTGATACACAGTATTTACATTACACTTAGTTTGAATAACCATAGCAAATCTGAGCAGAGAATAAATAAATTGAAATGTACAAAAACCTAAAAACTGAATGAGTTTGACAACATGTACATATCCTCAAAACCCCCATAGTAAACGACATAAAAAATGCTACAAAGAATTGAGAAAGAAACAAAAGGAGTCAAGACTCGTACATCAAAACCTGAATACAAAGCTAGCTACAGTATAAGGAAAGACCTACAATGATCTTGATCATTAGAAGACAATGAAGTCCTCTACTCAGCAAGTGTGAACTAACCCTATACATCTTCCAACAACAAGCAGGTACAAAACCAAACGATTGATGTATGGAATAATAGCGTGTAAAAATACAGGACCAATATCTCACCCCCTCTAGGAACCATGTCAGAAGTTTAAATTGCTTCTACACAAATGACAACCCTAGTAAACAAATTTGACATCGTGTGCATAGATGGAAACAAGGGGGACAAGTTATAATTGAAGGGGAATTCTTATCTTCCATGGTACCACCCACCTTTCAGAATGGACAAAATATCAAGAGCAGGTGGTGTGATACTATATATATAAAGAGAGGATCTGACTACAACCAGTAATGAGGAATTAAACATACGCACCTCAGAATCTGTAAGGTGCAAAATAATAGCTTAAATTTGTAGTAAACTGACAGTGGGAGTATGCTACAGGACAGACAGCAGTAGGAGAGGAAATGAAGAACATGCTGCAACATGCTGCTCTAGTCATGGCTGCATTTACCCGAATTCACACAAGGGCCACCATCTTTAGTGGCCTCGCCACAAACAGGAAGTTGGCAGCTAAACAAAGGTTCCCATGATGACCCAAGGATTTTTTCAGGCAGTGAGAAACTGCCTCCCGTGACGGTTTGGCAACGCAATGATTCTTTCATGCGTCTTGATATTTAAATAGTGTTACAAAAATCAAAAGCTTCATACTAGGCCATCTGTAATCACCTAAGAAAGCCACATAAGAAGGCAACTGATGTTTAAGGGTTGGGAAATGAGCAGAATAAGTGAGTCTTAAGGAACAGTAACAGGAATTTACAAAATAAACAAGAACAAATTTTT